ACGAGCGGATGGCAACACAATTAATAAACACGTCACGAGCAAGTGAGCGCTAAATGGATTGGCTAGATTTTTTTTCTTTTTTTTTTTTAAACCACGATAAAAACAATTCGCAAGAAAATCGATTCAGCTTTTGTGTTCCGGAAACAAACAATTCTTCGACATTAGATATCCATGCATATATGTATATTTTTAGATTTTTGTTAGAGCCAACACTGTTTAATAAAACATGTTCTGATTCTGCTGGTGTTATCCCCAGCTAGAAATTGGTTGCCAAGCATTGCATCATTCCTTTCATGTGACTCCCATACGCCCCAAATTCGTCCTGGCCGTCTTATGACTGCATCACAATTGCTGCTCGTACAAACTATGCAGGCTGGAGAGAACAACCACCAGATACGACGCTAGGCCCCGTCCCAGTAGTGATTCCTAGACTCTCTATTGGATGTCGCCAAGGAAAAGATCTTAGCTCCGCTCTTCTGATTGGCCTGATGGAACGTCAGTCAATCTCGCCCCGGTTAGGTTGCGTTGAAACTACCTTCCCATGCATAGTTCGGTTGGCCTCTCCCTCAATATAAACACCGCCGGGAGTTTCCGTAAAATCACATTCAGCCGTCAAGACTGAACAATGGTTAACATGAGCTATCACCAATTTTTACTAAAATATCTACATACGAATTCAAGACAGTCGAGAAGGCGAGCGAATAAAAGAAAAAGGGTAAGCGGACATTCTTGATAGTTTTGGCTGCTAGTTGGTGGTTGTTTTTCGGTTGTTTCAGGGAGTGACTAGCGGCTGCTTTTTTCAAGTGGTCCGATGTAGTGGGAAGAAAAAGAATGTGCATGTTTTTTGGCAGATATCCCAGTGCCGTTTTTAGAATAACAGCTGGCTTAATCAATCATAGTTTAGTGGTGCTTGTGTATTGTCTTCTTCGTTTGTCAAGTTGTCAAGCTCACACGGACTTCTTGCTAGGAAGTTTGGTTGTTGTGGCTGTTGACCGTGCCAAACGTCTCTACATCTGTACACATTTTTATGGATTTTGTAGTTACAACATACAGTACTTCTAATTTCAGATGTCATTTAATCTGAACATGTGGAACAGATTTTATTTAGCTCCGCAACGTTTGACAGGAATTGATGGGACTCGACATTGAACGGCTTTTTTGGAACGTTTTGGTGGTTGTTGGTTTTTTTAAGACTTTAACAATCTTATTTAGTTTAAATTGTTTTCCCTGAATGGACATATATTTATATTATTTAGTGTTTTTTTGTCAACCCACTCTTTCCTTTTCTTTTCTCTGTACGTTTTCCTTTTGTTTCGCCCATTCCTACTGCTGGACTTAACATTTCCATGACGTAATTGTCTTGGCTGAGTGGACATGTAGCCCAACTAAAACAGAAAAAAAACATATACGTTTATTATTATACAATAGTTATTTCAGAAAATAAGTTTTATTTACCAAACCAAAGTTTTAATGCCCAAATGGCCTCACTTCTGCAGTAACTTCAATATTTGACATCAAGATAACGAGGGTTTCTTTAATCTTTCTGACTTTGTACCGTCCTGTTTGTCAGTCACATCACTGCCAAAGCTACATTTGTGTAAGGATGCTGCTTTTTTTTTTTTTTTTTTTGCTTTTTGCACATTAGAGGAGAAATCCCCATTGATATGGCAGCAGAGTCCTTATGGTGCTTTTGTTTAGCTATCTCTGGTAAAGCCATCTGTAAGCAGTTAATAAAAGCAGACCTGACTGTAAGACCTGGAGAGATTGTTGCATTTCCTCGTCGTTTATAACCACTTGTTTATTGATCCCAACGTGTTTTAAGGACCGTAAAAAGCAGGGGGCGCAGTAGAGAACATTTTGGTCTTTGTTTACAATAATTATGAGGCAGGATTTAAAAAAAAAAATTTTTTTAACCTTTATTGTTCATTTTATCACTTATCGATATTTTATTGTTTCATTATTCTCCAATGCAGACATTAATGTTTCATTTCAGGCATCTTTTGTTCCCAGTTCAAGCTTCTCCTGTATTTGCACAAATCATCATTTTGATTCTGAAATCTCAGCAAATTTCAGCTGTTAGAAGAAACAGTTTTGACATTTTTAAAGACTAATGTATCAAATACTTTTTCTTTCAGAATTGTTGGGACAATCTATCTCCAACAAATCTGCAGACTTGATTAACAGAGACTTTCTAAAGGTAAATTGGCTTTCTTACATTTTACTCTGAATGCTGCATGTTTGTGAAGTCAAAGTTGTGATGTGATTTTTTTTTTAAATTTATTTTTCTAGTTTAATATTAATGTTATCTTTGAATTGAGATATCACATTTTTTTGGAAACATCTCTTTATTGACAATTATTGGTGCAGTACAGTCATTTCCTCACTTAGTGTCACTGTTATTCCACTTAACAATTAAGTGGATTACACAATACACTGTACTTTGGACTAGCTTGCTTCATCTTGAAGTGAGTGATTGCTGACTGCATTTTTCACAATTGTGAGTTTTCTATCCTTCATCTCTATCTAAACCAGCTGCAGAAAAGTGATGACTAAAATGAACAAGGTGGAGTTATTGTGACGTGTCAGTCATCTAATGTGCAGTTGTTTTGCACTCCTTCCCTTATCTTTCTTTTTCCCCCAACTCTGGTGCGTCTGGCGGCTGCCCCCCTCAGGTCCAGTGTGAACCGTGTGGCCGAGTATCTGTGCGTTGCGACTGATTGGCGAGATGACTGCCGAGTGGCTACACCTGCCCCCGCCGTACCCCCCTGGTGTGGGGCCGTTGTATGGTGCAGAGTTGGAGGCGTGGTATGAGGACCTGCAGGATATTCTGGGCTCCGACACAGGAGGGGCAAAACTGGCACGTGCCCCCACATGCACCGAGGTCAGTAGTTTGAAGAACGCAATGGCTAACACACCCATAATGAGTGTGAGTCTTTTAGTTGTTGTATGTTTAATATTTCTTTTGTTGTTTTTTCAAAACCTTTTGTGAAAAAAAAAAAGATTCACATCCTAAATGATGTGAAAATGTTTTATACTGATTTATACTATGTTTTGGCAGGTTTTAACTTTTCTATTTTGTGCTTGTAGAAGGAGCCGGAGTTCCTGGATGTTCTGGAGAGTTGTTCTCTGACATGGCTGACTGACGGAAGCCAGACATGGGGTGAGAGTGTCCAGAGGGCAACAGAGGAGATCCACAGCACCCAGCCTCTGCATCACACCTCATCGTCATCCTCTTCTTCCTCTTCCTCCTGCATGAGTCCAGCTGTTGCAGAAGAGCGGCAGGTGGAGGCTGAGAGTGGGAGAAATGGAGACAGTTCGGCAGGAGGTGGCAGTGACTTGCTGCCTCCGGAGTTCTTCGAGTTGCTGAGTGAAGGAGGAGTGGGAATGGTGGATCCAAGCGGGGCAGTGATCAGCGGTACCTATTATTACCACCACCATCAACACCACCAGGCTAATAATGTCCATCCTGCATCTCCCTCAGCCAGCGAGGAGGAACTGCCCTGTGTCCCAGATTCTCCATCTTGCTCCTCCTCAGCCTCCCAGTCACCATCTCAAAATTGTTCTTCTCCCTCTTCACCTGTCTCTTCTCCATCCGTCTACCCATCCTCCCGCCTGGGAAAACGCAAGCGGACCACCAGCGAGAGGGCCAACGGTGCCTTGTCCTCTTTCGCCTCCTCCACACAGCGTTCATCCTACTCATCTACCAAAAAGAGTCGCAAAGAAAGAGAGCAGGAGAACGAGAGAAAGGTGCAGGAGCTGACAGAGCAGAACGAGCGTTTGAAAGCGGAGATTGAAAGGCTGGGAGAGGAAGTACAGAGGACACGAAGAGCCCTGATAGAGAGATTAGTCAACACCAGGAAATGAGGGGAAAAAAGAGACAGTTTGAAGACAGGAATAAAAGATGACAGGTCCTACAGAATTGGAATAAGCAGTGGTGGGGAAAGGTGTAATGTGATGGTTATGAAATGCCTCTTAGAGAAGAATGGAAACCAAAGATAAATTTTATAAGTGAGTGGATTTTTGGAAACGACAGAGAGGTAAAGATGGCAAGAAGAAAGAAAGTGATGAAAGTCAAGACAAGAAAGGGCACCGAGAGAAAGGCCTGCAACAGCATTGCGGCAAATAAAAAGAGACACAGCATGTGTAAAGGAGAACAGACAGCTCTAAGTGCAAATCATGCAGTGATTTTGATGAATGTCATTTTAAAGAATGCCTGACAAGTTTCATCAAATAGGCTTGCACAAATAACAGTTATGAGCATTTGATGATTTGTATGTCGAACAGAAAGGAACTTAAATATGAGAGTGCATTTCATTGTCATCTGTTCCCACCATTTTGCAATAAATTGTAACTCCAATTTTAAGGGCTGCAATCTGGCTAGCAGAGATTATTTGCCCCAATTTGTGGAGAGTTTAGGAAGCTCAGGAAAAGTTTGAAAGTGCCCAGTTTAGTGTGAGTATGAGAGAATGTTTTTTTGTTTTCTTTTTGGGAAGAAAATTCATACCCTTTTATTACTTTTGTATAATCCCAGGCTTGTGTGTATGTGTATTTAGATAAAGCAAGTAGGACCCGGCTATACTTTCTAAGCTGACCTTTTCTATTATTATGGGAAATTGTGGTAGAATTATACAGGGTTGTTCTACCCTGATTTACTATTTTTATATAATGTTGTAAAATATACAATTGTACTGTAATGGCTTGTACTGTAATAGGCCAACATATCCAATGTTATTTTCTCACCGTAGTCACAAAAATTGTTAATCGTAGAGTAATATGCATGGCTTTTTATCACTGATGGCATCAAATTCATGTATTTTACCGTACCATTCATTTTATCATTCACTGTAATTCCAAATTTGCAATAAAAGAAAAAAATGTGCATTTTTTGAGTCATGTAATGTTTATTATTTTCCCTTTCTAATTACTTTTGCATGATTTTTTATTTTTTTTGTAGAAAATAGCGTACACCAGAGGTAATTACAAAAGGGTGAGGATAAACATTTTTTAGTTGAACTCAATCAGTTTATTTTATGGATCCAAAAAGGGTATTTGTAGCAATAAGCAAAAACACAATTTTCCAGAGGATATAAAAACATCTTTAGATGCGCAACACACCTTCCAACACTAATATCATATGCTGACTTTATCACAGGGAGAGTATAAAATCAGTTTCTTTTGGTGTAGGGATTTGGAAAAATCCCTCCATTCTGTAGCTGTATTCATTTGACTCTCTCTTTGTGTGTTTTCATTTCCCCGTCGGCCTATCCAGCATTTCATTAGTCCTCAGTGCCAATACCACATTGTCTTAGATCCTGTCACGGCTTTGCCTTAAGCTAATACCCTCATCTCTCTCTTAGTGTACATCTTGTTCCCATTCTCCACTATCATACCTCAAACCATTCTAGTCTTTCCTTCCTCTGACTAACCTCCATCATTTTTGCTTTCCCTTTTTTTCCTGTCTCACTTCTTCTTGCCCTTCTGAGGTGCAGGCTCAGGGCTCTTCCCTTCTGCAAGAGCCAGTTGTTTCTTAAGGTCCAACAGTTTCGCCACCTCTGCTGTGATCACGGCCTTTTCTGCCTTTTGGGCTTTGAGCGCTCGAACCTTGTCCCCCTGTGATAAACAAGATTGAAAGATTTAATAGAGTTCTTACACCTTTATTTGTTTTTGATCAAACACTTCGTGGAAATTTAATTTTGAAATGGCAAGCATTTCACTACGGCGGCAGTTACAAAGTTTGAAATTTTATGATTCCGTATTGAAAAATAAGCAAAATATTTAACGGCCGCATTTGTAGTAGAAATTATAACATACAATTTAAAGATAATTAGGTTGTACAAAAAGCAATTCTAATCAAATCATTAGAAACCTAAACATTGAAAGATAATTTTCCAAAAATAAATACTTTTAAAATAAGCCGCTACTCAGTTCGTCAGTGGGTTGTTGTGCGTGTAGTTTGCATTATGAAAAGAATGTTTTTGTTCATTACGGAAGATAGTATCTGCTTTATTATCCAGTTATAAACGGACTATTTCAGGAAAAAATCGCGCAATAAAAATCATAGAACTGAAAGCAATTTAACTTACAACGCTGTTCGAATAACAAATTACTGATTCAAAAGCGGCTTAAAAATGAAGAACCAGTGGTCTAACCTGCTCAGCCACAGCCTGTGTTAGCTGCTTGGCTTTCTCCGGGTCCACTCCGTTCACCATCGCCACCTCATCGGCGGCAGCAGTAGCTGGCACAGCAGCCGGCTGAGGGCTGGCAGTGCTCTGTGGTGTCTTCTGAAGGTGGAAACACACAGATGAAAATGTTTGAATTTCAGCCGCTTTGGTGGTTATTATTTGTCCAGATTACTCATCACTCAAAATGTCAATGGGATTTTATGAGTCACTATGTGTGAATGGACACCGAATCACATTGGACACATGGAGATGAGTAAAAATTCAATAAATGAGGATGTTTAATTCGCTGCAAGGGTTAGTGAAGGCGTGCGGTAATCAACACTGACACAGCAGCACCAGAGTGGACTGACTCTTCACAAACAAACATCACTCAATACCTTCTCTTTAGATGGTTCATCTTCGGGCTAGAGGCAAGAAGGTTTAGAGAGGGATTATTTTTATCTATATGATGGAGGCTTAATACATAATTTAAACATTTACAGTGTGTTTGCTCTGTATCGTGTTTTAAAAATCAGGCACTTCAAATTAAATCCAAATTCTTATTCATGACGACGGTCTGACAGAGACCTGTGAACAGCTATGCATTATCAATTCTTTATTTCATTATTCATAAAAGGTGAACGTATATTACTACCAGACCTGACTGAACTCATGCACAGACCATTAGGCATCATAAACATCAAATACCTGCTGTCCACCAAATCTTTTCTTCAAAGCCTCAATCTGGTCCGCCTCCAGTTTCTGGAACAATGGACTGACCTGGGAATAAAACGGGTTGGCAGAGGCAATAAAAGGTAAAAATTAAAAATATATATATGCAGGAATTTTTTAAAAAGTTTGCAATTGTCGATCCAGCCCAGGGCCAGTATAGCTGAAAGTTTCACCTGGAGGCTCTGTGCTCATCTTTGAACAAAGAGGATTATGCAAGTAAGTAAGTAGATAACTATGTATGAGAGAATTTGCAGCGAATCTATGATGATCGCCACTGTTAAATGAAACATTACACTTGTAACAAAGGGCACAATTTGTCAGAGAAGGTGTGTGCATGTAGGCTTTGTGTGACATTTAGCAGATGTCGTGTTCTAGTGGTTGTGTGGAGACCACATCCCCAGATCATGATAGCCTTGGTGTTTGAATGCAGCATTGGCAGCCTGCTGCACACACATCACCACAATTAGACCTGAAGGGACAAGTGGCCTGAGAGAAACTTGCTGTTTGCTCGAAGGCTGAACCCTCCAAACACCATCTAGGCTATTATTCTTAAGTGTGTGTATGTGTGTGTTAACAAAACTACAATATCCTCAAGAGTACTGAAATATTGACAGACTGTTGCATCCTCATTGTATCACCCAGCGTCAACATACTGGAGGTTAGACAGGTTTGTGATTCTGCAAATATGCAACCTGTGTGTGTTACATGTCTAGGTCATACTTACAGTGCCAATGCGATGGCCAGCACACAGGGAACATACAAAGGTGCCAGTGCCTTGCAACATCGTATTGACGCAAGATTGCGGGGCGTTGAGTTGATCCCTGATGGTTTGGCTGACTGCTGGCATATAAGGCATGAGCATCACTGACAGCAAGCAGGCGATATTCACAGAAACACCAGTCACGGTGCCTGCACGCTGCCTGAAGAGAACAAACAGATTAATTAGCCAGACAAATTGTGAATCTAAAAGCTTAGAATGGACAGAATTTAGATCCTAAAAACTGCTAATTCACTTGAATATACATACAAATAATTCTGTCTTCTAAGAACTGATCTTACAAATGTAATCTGCGTATGATTAAATCAACTCGACCTGCACTCAGAGATACATGATAAGTCATTTTTCAAAAGGTCAGTGTCCCGTTCCACACTTTACACATTTGAGTCACAACTAATAAACACTGATTTATATATCTCGAATGAAACTAAAGATGTACAGATTGTGTGTAGCTGGTCAAGACTATCTCACCTTTCTGTGTCTCCTCCCTTGATCTTCTTCCACGGTTCATTGACCTGAATGTATTGGTTGCCATGACGAGAGATGTTAAGGATGTGTTTAAGGGCATCGCGGATTCTGGAGAAACATTTTAAGGAAATTGAGAGTAGCATGACAACAGCAGTAGATGGATATTAATCGAAATGAGGGGCATTTTACAACCACAGCGCATGATACACTATCTACTGCAGTATAAGCACAAATAAGGTTTTACCTGATGATACAATTGCCAGTGTAACACTAGTAATGTAAACCTAGATGCAAAATGTACATGTACAGTTATTAATTTTAAATAACTGAATTAAACAAATTAAAGACCAGCAGAAAGATAAGTCTTAAAGGTCATTTTAATTAAACAGTTATAAGTAAATTGCAACATCATCCCTCTGCCATTGCTGTTGACAGGTATGTGATTATCTGGTCTTACTTGACTTTGTCCATGAGCTGGATATACTGCTGCAGCTCCCAGCCCACCAGAGCCAGGAGCCTCTTATCTTCCTGCTGAAGCTCCATCACAGGCACACAACCCTCAAAGAACTTAGCGACAAACATGCCGGCTCTGTAGGAGCAAGGGAGAGGAGGGTTTGTATGAAACGAGGGTCAGAGAAAAATGTTGGAACGGAGAGAGACGAGCAGCAAGAGAAACAAAGAGAGAGACAGAGTGAGAGCAAAGCGAGTGTAGGGCATGTTACTTGACTTGCTAATTGTTTATAAATTATAGATTTTGTTGCCATATGTAATACAGCGCTCTGCTCTGCGTACAGCATTGAGCCATTCCACAGCTCCTTGTTCGCCTCTAAATTGTAGCTGCTGTCTGGAACAAGTAATTTTTCACATGAGTTTTATGTGTACATCAGGAGGATGCTCACAGTGAGAAAGTTTTTGTCATGTCTGATGCAACACACTGTTGTATATTTTACACATCTCTAAGCCTCTGAGGAAGGACTGCCAGACCAAAATGTTTTTACAGGAACGTCAAATTTACAATGAACTGTGATTTTGATGTGTGAGCATGAACTTCACGTGACCTTAATTTGTTGAGTCTACTAATTAGTGAAACTGTCAATCTCTGAGGTTTTTTTCCATCCTGGGGAAAAATGGGACTATTCCTTCAGTTAAAATGACTGAATTAACTTAATCACTAAAGTAGTTCTTTTTGCTGGTAAATATTAAGAACTGATTTAGACATTTTGGTTTGTCTAGCTAATTATTTGTAAAACTGTCATCAAAATGCTTTGACCGAACTGCAATTCGACGGAACACTGCATCCCAGAATCATCCGTAAATCTTGAAACAAACGGGTACAAGATGGACACCCTGTCACTAACGATGTAGTGATTCAAGGATTGGATCCAGGCAAGGACACAATTTCTTTTCTGAAGCAGAATACTTTCTACCTCCAACACCTTAGGCTGGATGCAATCTACAAGATATTTTTGAACCAATTAGGCATCAGCGTCGCTGCCCGAGACCAATTTTGAAGATCAAGGTACTTTGAAAAAAAGCTGCTGAGAAAAATCTTTGATGTAGGATTTAACCCTGATCTTTTAAAAATCATTTGAGGCAATGTAATTGGGGCTAAATTACGCCATCCCAAACAAATTTAGAAAACTAGGGTGAACCTCTTGTAATAGTTAGTGCTGTAACAGACTTTTTCCAATGAGTACAACTATCCGAAAACTTCGTTGTTAATTGGACTGGATGACAGTTTTGCTGCAAATGTACTTTTTGAGTGAAACTCACATACAAAATATGAGCAAATTGAGATGAATTTCCCTACTTTCTATTTTAAGTGACTGATACGAACTAATCATAACAATTACAATGACATGAATGATGTCTCAAATTCAGGAAACAAATATAATTTGTGTTAAACAACCTAAACGGATATCGGTGAACGCTATCTTGTTAGGATAACTGGGAAAAGTAATAATATTTGTAAATCAAATGAAGTAAATAGGAATTCATTATAACATATATGACTATTACCAACCTGTTGATGAAATTGCCCAGGTTATTGAGGAGCTCAGAGTTGTTCTTTAGAGCCATGTCAGCCCAAGAGAAAGCAGAGTCCTGTCCCTCTGGACGCACATACAGAAGGTAGAACCGCCACACGTCAGCTGGGATGCCAGTGTCCTTTGCCATGTCTCCAAACACACCCACACCACGGCTCTTGGAGAATTTTGTGTCCTCGTAATTCAGATATTCTAAAGGAAGAATATACAGTACAGGTTACTGTGCAAGGCTTACCGTGGACAAAATACATCATTTTTGAGTAACACAGCATTCATGTCCATTTCAAACATGTGCTGGGAACCCCAAAGCCAGTCAGATAATCTATCAAATAAATAATTGATCAATCAATCAATCAGTGAAATCAGTCAATTGTAATAAGTGCTTACCAGTGGCAACAAGGTGGTTGACTAGAGTGTAGTTGTCCTGGGCTCCCAGTAGGGAGCAGGGGAACACCACACTGTGGAATGGCACATTGTCTTTGGCCATGAAGTTGTACAGCTCCACCTGGTGGTAGAGACACAACAACGCACTGAGAGGATGACATCATATTAGATCATCATGAGATCATCCAGTTCAAAGAGGACTTATCTGCTCTCCCCAACCCCCATCTCTCTCTCTCTGCAAATACAGGGCATCACACACTCATAACAGGGAGCTCAATCCTGGGGTTTTAGATGGTGAGCGATGAGATGATCCAGTCAGAGTGAAGAAGATAGTGATGCTTATGAGAACAAACATATATATATATATATAATGTATTTATTTATTTCTTTTTTGATGGATCAGATTGTAAGTCAGTTGAGACCATATGTAAATGAGCAAGTTAGCCATTTACCACTGGCTTCTTGTTTGACATTTGCTACTTTATGTATGGGAAGCTGTGTGAATGGTGCCCTTAAAATAACAAACTCAAGAGTATGCAGAAAATGTGAAATGGCTCCTCCTATTCAAGCCAAGTGGAGCATAGCTTTACAAACAACAAAAAGCTAGCAAATCTTGGGTAGTATGATGATGCTGAGACTTGTATTTCAGAAGGTGGGAATCTTGAAATCATGAAACCACATTAGCCTATAGTATACCGTCTTCACTATACTCCACTGTGTATACGCTGTAGCTTTGGGTATAAAACTGAAGGCTAAATTAATTCATAATCGAAGAGGTTATGTCTCTCTCTGTTTCACATCAGGGTTATATGGGGCTAGGAATTACACTCTGTTCTAATGGAGGGTGAAAAAGACCAGATGGGGCAATGAAAAAAGCAATCAGACCCATTCTGTGATGAAAAGAGGACAAAATCTGTGCCAGGCATGTTCATCAGTACTCTGTATGGCTCATAAATTCTGACAACGTGTGCTGGGGGGTGGTACCTGATGAGGATTCTTCCACCACTTTTCCCATTTGTCGGTGTAGTTGGCAGTGATGGACAGATAACCAATGGGGGCGTCAAACCACACGTAGAACACCTGCAGAGGCAGAAAGAGAGCTTTGACTGACAACAGGCATGCCTTTTTTTTCTTTGGTATAGAAATTAATAATGAATGACATGAAAAAGAACACAAATATTAGGAGGAATAAATTATCAAAACGCACAAGGACCTAGACACAAAAGTGATGGATAGTGTGGAAGAAAGTTTTAGAACTGTGTAGTAAAAGAAGTGGTCTGTGTCAAAACATGCTTAGACAAGCCAGACTTGAAAGGTCTCCCAGTGAGACTTAAGTGTGCTATTAGGTATCATTAGTCAGTACAGCATTTGTAGGCAGTTAATGAAGTGCATAGTCATTTCCGATGTTTCATTAGAAATAAATATGACCTAAGATATTAAATGTTTGCATTCATTACCTTGCTCAGCAGGCATAACTGAGCAGTTATATTATGTTTTGATAAAAAAAGGTTATCGAGTGGAATAAGCATCTGTCTTAGGGTATGCAAGCCAAACCAAAGGCAAACAAATGCTATCTAACCGCTAAATCTGCAACGTGAAAAATTGGATTCTCTTAGATATGACATTAGCAGACCTTCTCTTTAAAATCAGGGTGAGGTACTGGCGTTCCCCAAAGCAGGTCCCTGGTGATGCAGCGTGGTTTAAGTCCGTCTCTTAGCCAGGAGCGAGTGATTTGTTTGGCGTTTGCTGTCCAATCTCCTGTGCTGGTTGATTTCTCCAGCCACTGCTCCAACTGAGTTTCTAGCTGCAAAGAAAAAGAGGGAAAAGGAAAATGCTGAAAAAAAAAACACCCGGTGTCTTAACTCTAAACCACAGCTTAAGAAAGAGTAAAGCCGTTTATATAATAAAATTACCAGAGGGATAACTGCCTTCCACAAGCTGTCTTTGAATGCTACCTTAAACTTGCTAAACTGGATTACTCTGTCTCCATCCCTGTGACTAAAGAAGCAGTGTATAACTGGGTGAATGGCCAACATAGGACATTGCAGAGCAGTGTGACAATCATACCTTTGGCAGGTCCAGGAAAAGATGTTTGGAGGAGCGGATGACAGGAGTCTGCCTGCAGACCTTACACTGTGGTTCCTGGAGGAGAAAGTCGTCAACAATGATCATTACTGATTCGGGCAAAATTTACCCTGACTTTTAACCTAAATTTGTCATTTTGCTAAGAATTTATTTATCCATGGAAGCAAAAGCAACATAAAGAGTTCCAATGTACCAACAATACTACATTAGGCAAATAGTAGGTTATTATCGCAGCCTCCTTAATTAATGAGAAAGTCTTTTTAGATTCCTAGTTCTGCACCCAAGTGAAACATACATTTTTACAAAAGAGGTACAGATGTCTCCAGCAGCAGCCTGAGTAGACAGAAATGTGCTGCTGCTTCAGTAAGTGATACATCTTGAATATATCCCATCATAGACTGCATTTCACAAGTAAAAGCAGATTATTTCTTCCTTTATATATATTTTACAGGGAACAATAAAAATGATAATAATAAATAAAAATTTTAACATTTCTGCAAGTTAGATCTTTTAAGACATTTTGTACCACAGAGATTGCACTTTATTACCTGTTTAACAAAAGATTTAATCACCACCAATTTCCCTTTTTTAAAGGGAGGTTTATGGGTGTCTGACAGATGCGACCACATACATTTCAGAAAAAAAAATATACATCTGACATTACAGCCGATACATAACTTTTCAAGAGCTGAAGATACTCTGTGATATTCCAGTTTCTACCACCATCATTTTCTTTACAGTAATCAACAGCTCTAGAAGTGGATGAGGACGAGCCTCCCCTTTACCCTTTCGATCACTTCAGATATACAGCCTGCTCCTCCAAACTCACCCTGAGCTCCACAGCATTGATGAGCCGCCCACACTTGTCACACTGATCACCACGAGCTTCTGGGTATTTGCAGTGAGGACAGATGCCTTCTACGAAGCGGTCAGCCAGGAAACGCTGACAATTTTCACAGCGTAGTTGCTCAACTGTGTCTTCTACAAGGAAACCATTCTTGTGGAGTCGCCAGAAAATATTCTGAGCTATCCTGAAAACAATAACAGAGTAAAAATGTGGCTGAAAGGTTCATTGGGAATTGTGCCTGTGATGCAAGAGAAAGACTTGACAGTTGTCCTATGTGAGGACTCACTCGCCATTTAAACTTGATGACAGTTTTGTTTTCTAACTTAGATTGGTACCGCTTTACTATGTTGAAAATGGTGTACATTTTTGGAGCCAATATAGCAAATAGAAAATACAGCAGTATACTTTTAAAAAAAAAAGAAGTTTAAGGGAAGAGAGTTTGCGTTATTGATTTAGTAAGAAAAATGTGAATTTTAAAGGGTATGAAAAAACAAAACTGATGGTGATCTTTGGTTCTGGGCTGGTAAATCTAAAATCAAAGACCTAACCTCCAAAGTACTTCTCATAAATCAGGTCAAAAGTCTTTAATCTGTAGGCTGTTTTCATTTGTCAAAGAACATGGTGCTGGTGCATGGTGTTTGATGCCTTTTATGTTGTACAATATCAAAGCAAAGGCCTGAAAACAAGAGTTTTTATCTTTGTAATCCTTTCCAGCGTACAAGAACTAAGATTTAGATCTAATCTTTAATGAAAAAACTGCTTTACTTTTGTATCCCATTTCCCATTTTAAGTAGGTAAACTCAGCAACACCATTTCCACACACACACTGCCAAAGAAGTCAAACCCTCTCCATTGCTTTCTTTGCTTGAATAATTGCTTAGAGGAACAATCTATAATACTGCAACAACAAATTGACATTTTACAAAGAATGTCCAATTTATTTTTCCCTGACTTACTCTGCCAATACCTTCTGATTTGCCAGATTTTATTTTAGTAGTTTAGATTTGAAAAGTGATACTGCTTCTTAAATAAATACATTTTATTTATTTTATTCCTTTACTATTAAGTGCAGTCTCATTTAACAGACTTTCACACTTTGGTTTAGATGACATGTGTTGTACCAATGTTTTATTGGTATTGTATTTACAGACACTATATACTGCTTAATCCTCACTAGGGTTGCCAGTCTATCTACCTATGGACAATTTAGAATCACCAATTAACCTCAACATGTTTTTGGACCTTGTGGGAGGAAGCTGGAGAACCCAGAGAGAACCCACGCTGCACAGGGAGAACCTGCAAACTCCACGCAGAAAGAACTGGCGACCTTCTTGTTGCGAGGCAACAGTGCTACCAACTGCACCACCTTGCAGCCCCTATTTACAGACATGTCAAAGCTTAACTACAAAGTTAAAATGAATATTTTTAAACAGGATTTTTTTTTTATTTGGTAAACTGCTGGAAAGCAAACAGTAGTAACCTATGTCCAACGATCCCACTTCATAATCTCTGAGATTATATACAGTAGAATTTATAGTTGAGTGGGCTGGATGTCCACATTAGCACGTACGACACGATTATGCTAATCCTATGTTATGTAATTTTATAGTAAGTACAAAGTAATCATATGAAAACATGTTAGTCCTTTCCTTCCACATCAGAGTCACATCCAAAAAATATCAGGGCCAGTGTCTTGAAGCCAGGGACTTCTCTATTTAAAGAAACCTTTGCTTGTTGAAAAAAGAAAAAAAAAAAACCTAGTCTTTAATTGCTAAAATAAGATTCAAATTTTGTCATCGGTGGCCATGAACAGGCCAACTCACTTACTCTGTCTGCTTCTCCGTGGTGGTTCTACCAAAAAAGTCAAAGTCAATTTGGAACCATTTGTAGATGCTGGAGTGAACAGCGTGGTACTTGTCACAGATCAGTTGCGGTGTCAGGCCCTCCTCTCTGGCCTTGTTCTCTGTGGCTGTGCCATACTCATCTGTGCCACACACAAACAACAGGTTCCAGTCTCGCAGGCGGCCATACCTAAGAGAAGTAGATAGACAGAAGGATTAAGTGGTGCAGGAGTTAAGAAAAAGACAACTGATGTAGATGAACTGAGAAAGAAATGAAAAAATATAGAGAGCAGAAAAAAGATGGAAGATAAAGTGGATAAGGAGAGAATGGATAACCTCTTGGTGAGGTAGATTATAATGGACAGCTGTCATTGTAATATTCATAGCACTGTTAAATATATTACAAGTATCCATATGCCTATATATTACATATGTACATGATTTCTATGCTTTTAGGTATTGAATATAAAGATGTGTGTGTGTGATTCCTGCTAGACATATGTTGATAATCATCTTCTTTTTTTTTTTTTTTAACCAAATGTGCACTGTACTCAGAAAAGACAGAGAAGATTCAATTTCTACCTGGAGAAGACATCAGCACTGAGGACACAGCCAATGATGTTACCCAGGTGGGGGACATTGTTGACATAAGGCAAAGCACTGGTCACCAGGATGTTTCTTTTGCCTTCCTGTGGCAAACTGAATTACAGAGAAAGAAAGCAAAAACAGAACTGAACTGAAATCAGCCTTAACATTATGCATCTCATGTCTCAACTCACTATAATGTTAGATGATGACTGCACAAAGTAAATTTTGAAAAGGTGAGGAAAATCACGTTGATTTATGCAGGGGTGTTGTTCAGACTTTATAAGAAGATTTCTGGGTAACATGTTAGTGAACATGGTTCTTATAACATCCTAAAGTATAGTACGCAGTACGCATTTCCTTCCTGCAAGTCACTCTGAACACAAGGATCTGCTTATTGTCTAGACTGGAAAAAAGGCCCTTTATTACTTACATAGGGTGTTGTCTGTCTGTCACCACAGGGCTGGTGCTCAGACCCTTACTCCAGGTGAGAGCAGCTGCTTCCATTTCCTCTTCTGAAAAATCACGCTCGCCTTCCTCACCCTAAACAAACACAAAGATATAGAGAACCTTTAACAGGGTTTTATACAAGCTTGTAAGGTTAGTAATCTCCACAAGAGAGTAGAGAAGATAAAGAAGTAGTGATGTAACTTACAACCTATATGTTCTACATCCTAGCACATTTGTTAATTTAGCTTTCACTAAGCCAGGTTAAGTATCACTGGGAAACTGTATCTGCATGACATGAGAGCACTACTCAATTTAAGCGAGCTGAATTCAAGTCGTGATCTGCTTTGGCTATTTTAGCGCATCAACACCTTGAAAAAAGACAAAGAAAATAAACCTTCCTAGAAACCTCACATGTACATCTTTCCTGAGGCATATGCACAAATCATGTTAGGCTGTGAAGCTCCTTCCAATCGATATTGTTCTGTAAGAATGCTTCAAGTCTAATAGTTATGCTGATAATCTAGCAGATACCTCAGCAGGGTTGCTGTTGCACGGCTGTGTGTCTCTGCACTGGTTGCTCTGAGGGGCAGGCTGCCTCTGCATGTAACTCTTCATGCCCTGCAGGCCTTTTCCCTGCAGCACTTTCTGAGCAGCAGACAGGCAACTATGTATAGAAGCCACACGGTCGAACCAACTATTCACAGATTTGTGTTCACCTGTAAAAGAGACGGAGAATTAGAGACGGAGAAAGAGTAGAGACAAGACGGGGTGAAAAGGAGAAAAATAAGGTAAAAGGTCACAGAAAGGATCACGTGTGTGTGTGTATATATATAAAATAAGGGAATGAGAGATGGGAAATGAAAAAATTTTAAAGGCAGAAAAGAGATAAGACGCCAAGTAAAGTAAAGCAACAGAAAAAGAAAATAAACAAACCTAGAGGGGAAGTCAAGGTTAGTTCATAGATAAACAATTTAAGCAACGCTAATATGTTTTTTTTTTTTTATTATTATTATTATTATTATTATTAATTAGTACTCACCCAATGCTAGTGAAGAGTCAGATAAAACAGGGTACAGTGCGGCCCACAAAACAAGATCAGCGAGTGAAACAGTATCCTGAAACACAACACAGTTTAACATATTTTTAAGCAGTTACTCTAAAGTATTCATAAATTCCCATGTCTGAAAAACCCTGAACAATGCAGAGGAGTTGACCTATCTGAGGCTCTTTAACTTTTATGTGAAGCACAATTGTGAGGACTATTTGCAACATAACTGGAAGTATATGTACAGCTGTGACTATCTCACTGTGTGTGTTTACCACTGTTTTTCCTTTAGTTTTATACAGACCCATGGTACGAAAGGAGCTACATGTGGCACAGCACTGGTGCTCAGTTAAGGTCAACTAAACCTCAAAAGAGACATCATGAACTTCTTATATTATATTGATCAAAAAGGCCTTGTTTGAGTGAGTATTTTTGTCTTTATCTTCTCATTGTATTGACATTATATTTGGCAACTAAACACTAACAAATAAAACAGCTGAATATGTTGATACTGTACCCCATTTAAATATGGCTTGCCCCCCTTGGTCAAGCTTTGGTCCAAGAACTTCAGGGGACCCTGGAGGACCTTGGACACCTCTGATCCTTTTCCCTGCAGCACTGCCATGTGAAGAGCCTGTAGCAGTGCAGGCTGCGCAAGTAAGATAAAACAGAGGTTAATTAGAATTGATCGAATGACATCAGATCAAGTAGTAAGTCAAAGTACTGTGACTGAGTTCAACAGTAAATTTACTTAAATCCTACACAGACAAGAGAGACACATTTCTTACCACTAGTTTCTGTACCTTGTTCTTTTTAGAGTAGACGTTTTAATCATTTAGGTGCATGGATTTATGTCCATGTAGTTAAAAGAAGCCCGGCAAGATGATCATGTACCAGAGAATTTATAAAAGCATTAACTTGAAATTACGTTTCGCATGTTGATCTAGTGTTTCGTAAAACAGATTACCAGCAAACTGAGGGGTTGATTTTGTTATGTAGAGCTTACCTGAAGATCTGTGGCCTCCCATTCAAGCCACTGGTTGCAAAGCTCACTGGATTCTTGTCCACTTACTTCAAATAGATATCTAAGGTGTTAAAAATGTGAATGAAAACAGAAGGAAATCCTGTCAAACAGTTTCAGCTTACTCATAAAAAGCACACAACGTAAACATAAACATAAAATATCTGCAACATGTATGTACTATTCCTAAGAGTTGGATACAGTGCATCTCCAAATTTTGCTGCAGTGTGAAACAATTTCAAATCTTAGCAATTCAATTTTATTGATGTTTTTACACTATTTTTGTGGTTGGCCTTAGTTTACGGTATATTCACAGCATAATCAAACAAATATACAGTTGAAACCAGAAGTTTACATACACTGTATAAAAAGACATAACCGTTTTTTCCCCCACAGTGAAACGAGTCCTATGCTGACATGGGCTGAAAGGCTACTCAGAGAGGAAGAAGCCATTACTCCAAAAACAACAAAAAACAGCCACATTACAGTTTGAAAATGCATACAGGGAAAAAGACCTTAACTTTTGGAGACATGTCCTGTGGTCTGATGAAACTAAAATGGAACTGTTTGGCCATAATGATCATTGTTATATTTGGAGGAAAAAGGGAGAAGCTTGCAAGCCTGAGAACCCATCCCAGCTGTGAAGCACGGGGGTGGCAGCATCATGCTGTGGGGGTGTTTTGCTGGAGCCTATCCCAGCCGACTTAGGGTGAAGGCAGGGGACACCCTGGACAGGTCGCCAGTCTATCACAGGGCCACACTTAGAGACAGACAACCAAGCACACTCACATTCACACCTACGGACAATTTAGAATCACCAATTAACCTCAACATGTTTTTGGACTGTGTGGGAGGAAGCCGGAGAACCTGGAGAGAACCCACGCTGCACGGGGAGAACATGCAAACTCCACGCAGAAAGATCCCGGTGCCCCCACCGGGACGCAAACTGGCAACCTTCTTGCTGCGAGGCAACAGTGCTACCAACTGCACCACCCTGCAGCCCCCAAATGTAAATAATTTTAGAAATTCTAACCTACCTAAAACATGAAAAGTTTAGTCTGATTTTATGTCAGACAGTGAGAAAAAAAAGGTTCTATGTCTTTTTATGCAGTGTATGTAAACTTCTGGTTTCAACTGTATTACTGGATCTATCCGATTCATGCATATGTCATTGCAGTTTTAAAAAGATTAATGAATGTGTCCCCTCCAAATTGCAAAAACTCTATTTATATTTAGCTAGGCACACAGTTTTGCTTGCATTTGCAAAAAAATTGAAATACTGATCTCAGAGATTTCTCCTTTAAGCCCAATAACATATTAAGGAAGTTTGTTTAGTTGGGCTCATAGCAACAAAACCTAAGACACCAATTCTAAAGCTATCTTGGTACCAACTAAGGTCAGATAAAATATTTGCTGTTGCTGAACTGACTCTTAAGATTATATACATCTCAAAAAGTAGAGGCATTGATTACAAGCTACAACATTCATGTCAAGTTATCGCTGTCGTCAAGAAACAGGGAAGCAGGAAGGACTATCTATGATCTACTGACCGGCAGATGGCATTGGAGCTGAAAAGGTGTAGTCCACTGGGCAGAAGGAGGGCTGGCAAAACTGGACGGCTAAGAAACGGCACCACTTTCTCTGAAAATAAATAAATAAATAAAAATTCCAAATAAATTTCCACATCAGACGAGCAGAGCACATTTCGGGACAAGTTTAACTGGATTCTGTTGCTTATTAATTCTAGTTTGATGACGACTCAAGTTTTTTTTTTTCATACAGCATGCTTTATTTCATTACTTTTACCTTATTAAATTTGTAACATTTTAGGGTTTGCATAAAACAATGCATAAATGACAAAAAATAAAGCTTTGTCATGTCAGTTCTATCAACACATTTTTACTTTGTTCAAGAGATTTTTCAGCAAAGAAACTTGCATGAGTCATGCACTTCAGCGATACAGTTCACTACTTATCCCTCATCCAGTTTAAATGTGTGCATTTCTGAGTACAGGTCATTCATTTATGCACAGTGGCTGCATCCCAGGTGGTCCTGGTTATTTATTTCTGTGATCCAGCTCCCAAGAAAGGACTAGCACACATCTGGGATCAGACCACCAGTATGAAGCTGGGATATATTACCATTGCATTAGAATCTAATTCCTTTCCACAGTAACACAGAAGATGACAGAAGATCATCTGGATAATAGATAACCTCAGAGAGTAATAAGTAAGCAATCCTTTAGTACAGGGTGAACTAGATGCAAAACAAAACACACTGCATTAAATGCATTGCTGAATGTTGCAGAGGCAGACTTCTAGCATTAAACTGGCTCTCTTTTGAAAACATTGTCAGAAATGAGTCAGAATTGCAAATGCCAAATTAGTCATTTGACATTAGTCATTAGTCCTTAATCTTTTCCAGGAGGGAGGAGTGATTTCATTGAAATCAATATCAAGATAATCAAAAACCTTTTCAGTCTGGTTAAATTCACAAAGTCAACTTTAATGTTGGACTCTCGCTGCAATTTAGACAGGCTCCTGGGTACCTTGTAAAGTTTTCTTCTGGGTTCAGCCTGACCTGGCTGGCAGGAATAGCAGAGTCTATTTGGCATGCCAGATTAGATGTTTACCTGAGATTGTTGGCAGGTTCCAGTCCATCTGATTACTTAGACAAAATAGTTCTAATTTCCCACACAACAGACATGCTGATTATACACAATGATGTTTGAAAATATGGTGGAATGAGTAAAGTCACTGCATAAAAGTTGTCATATGTGGCTTCACTATTTAACGCTCCACTTGTAATTACACAGCTGTGTTTAGCTGTAATGTTTTTCAGACAAATAAAGATAAATAACGATTATTTAGTAGCAAAACTAGACTGGTTTTCATCTGTGTAAAAAAAACAAAACAAAAAAACAAAAAACTGTCTAAAAGCACAAAGAATACTATCTAGAATAAAGTCACGTTGCTCAAATCAAGGTATTGGATTAAATATAACCACCAGTTTAAAACATTCAACCAGACTAACACTGTGGTCAATTGTACCTGTAGCTATGTACTTCTAATCAAAGACAACGTGAAGCTGCACAAACAATAACAAAGCAAGACAGACAAAGCAATGGCGTACAGTAAGAGTATTTTCTAGCTGCTTCTCAGATACAGATACGGTTCACTACATGCATTGTGCCTGACACTGACAGGCAGATATGTCTTGCTGAAAGCTAGTTGTGCAGCTAGCTTAGTATTACACAATAACAACCGTCTGTTAAAGCACACATTTATCCTAAACGTGACAAGACGACATGTTACCGTAAGCAGTACCAAATCAAATTTGTCAGAAGTCGTAATTACAGTTAAGTCACAGGGTTAAGTTAAGCTAACCATGCTTCCTTACCTTCGTGGTTGACATACTGGACGCTACACTGAACTCCTGTCACTTCTAAGGCAGCTAACACCTTCAGGCAATGCGGGTTGCCTTCGCTTACGAACAGCTTCATGGTGCCGTTGGTACCTACTCCGCTGTAAGACTGACGATTTGCCTTAATGGTGGCGATTTTCTAAACTTTGAAGCGAGACAAGTAGCTGACAACTTTGCCGGCGAGTGCCGTTCACGCTGATGCAAGCACTGTTGACTCTATTAAAAATGGCGGACGTGTAGTTTTGCGAGGGCTCCGTGTCGGTAAGAGAAACTGTAGCTGGTCGCTTAGGAGACTACACATCCCATACACCTTTTCGAAAAGCAGCTCATTGACACACATCCAGTCTGCTTGTTGTAGTTTCTAATACAGCACCGCCGGGCGGGAGTGGTGTCGTGTGTCGCGCATTTTTTACCGGGCGACGTCGGGATATTAAACGAGCGCCGTCTGTTCTTGTAATCTGATTGGTTCGGTGCAAAATCATATTGGCCGATTGTAGCCAATCTTACGCCACCAAACCCTGAACAGCACAAGCTATTTTGTGCGCTTAAAGAACGACGAGGCTCCATCGTCATGGGCTGTAGGGGCATGCAAGTGCCCATGCGTGACTGTTGATTTACAAAAGTGTAGGTAAATTATGTGAAGTTATCCTTTTTTTTTTTCCCCCCACGAGAAAAACGCAGCAAACTTACGAAGACACAACTGCTGATCTCTCTGCAGTTCACTCCATAAACACAACTGAGCTGTCACCACGTCGCTGCAAGGTGAGTGATGCAAAGGTTTTTGAATTGCTGCTGAATTGCTGAGACAGAGAACTTATTTTCTGCTAAGTATTCATCTAAGACATAGCGTTTCTGTGATGCTCACCCTCGTCATTTTTATCTTCTCTGGTACTGGTGCAAATCTAGAAATGTTATGGTGTGAGGAATCTTAGGTTTGTTTTTGCAACATTTGGTTACAGGCAAAAATATTTAATTCCTTCTCAAATATCCAAAGTATTGTAGCATTTGATTTACTGAATCATCTTTTAACCTAATAATTACCAATCTGTACTGTTATGTAAATTTCTAATTCTTTATTTTGACAGTACAAGCTGATTAACGCCTTTATGTGGTGGGTTCAATAAAAAGTACAGTGTCACAATGCGCCTATCTGCTGTAAAGTTAGCGCATAAAAGTCATAGTCTTTTGAAATTACCAGAATATACATTTTTAAAGACAGCAGTCTTTAGTGTTGTGAGCCTTTTTAGATAAGGAAATAGCAAATTCTTTCTTGTCTTGACAACAATGATGTGTGTGTTTTGTGCACTGATTGTCAGAAAAGTTGCAGGCCAATGCAGCACCTAATCTATTCTGCCTCCAAAAATAGGTCATAGGTTTACTTTTACTAAAATAAGAAGTGATGTTTTTCCAAAACAGTTATTTTTCCACATCACAGTTTTAGACCACATGTACCTACCACAACTGCTCAAACTCAGCTAGTGTACTGAAGCAGAGGCACAAAGGGCCCACTCATTGACCCAACACATGCCTAAAACGTTTAAACCTGCAACCATTTCCTGTGGAAGAGCACTTTCCACTTTTTAGAGTTTCCTGTTGAACCCCTCTCCTTCTACACACATCATTTGACGGCTCATGCACTAGTTTTCTCCTTTTGTTTTAATGTATGCACACCTAGTACTTCAGACAATGGTGCACTGTATATCATCACTACAATGGTGTAGACACCATGATCCCATTATTTACCATCTCTTTAAATGTCACACTGATAAGAAGTGCTAATCTCGACAGTTTGCATATGACGTTTTCATGCGGAAATGTTTGCATGCCTCTGTGAGTGAGTTAGCCCTTACATGCTTCACAGAAAGTGCATGGATGGGTTAACCACAGGGTGTGATGGAAACAGCTTGACTGACGCATTGCTTTTTTGCTGTTTCATAATCATTCTTAAGTCCATGCAAAGCAGGAGATTTGCTCCCTTTTTTGCCAGCCTGTGACGACACAAGCTTGAAAGATTATTTTTCACTTGCAACTTTGCTGATTAAAAGTGCCCTGTACCATGTGCAGCATTAGGACGAGGGTTACAAGTTCACTGTAATTACTCGTGTGCCCCACACACTGCTGTTGTCAATGCTGTGTCAAAGAGAGATTGAGAGACTGAAAAGTTTTGCATTGTGGTATGTTGCTAGTCGGATTAATTTGCAGCTCTGGCATATCTGAGCAAGGCAGTGTGTGTGAAATGTCTGGATGCTTGCATGCATGCTGTCAGGTGTGGAGCAAAATTATACCGTAGAAACGCTTGTCTCACTTGTGTGCTTTCGACCAGGGGACAGCCTCACCACAGCTTTGGTTTTACATGCAATATGCTGACATCTGGTCTTCCCTCCCACATCTGACAGATAGATGTTTCTTTTATTGTGTTCATTTACTAGTTGGTCTCTTAGTTTAAATGTGCTTCAGATTTGATTAACTTTTCGTGACTTTGAATTTTCTCTCAATGAAATAGCCTTGCTACATTGCTGTTTCTCCACCCTTTCTACCTAATTTGTATCTCGCAAAGAGTTCTCATGACCACAAGCTAGTCATGTGATTTTGCATGACATACTACAAAGAGAGAGAGGGGGGGGGGGTCTCAAACAGATTATATAGAGATTAAAGTAGATTTAAAACACATTCATTTTTTTTACAGCCAGTTTATTTGGTGCATCTAACTGAAACTGTAGCACCCAACAACCCGACAATAAATCCAACTTTCATTAGGATGAAAGTGTTTTTGTGCAAACTGTTTCAGAGAGGCATTTACTCAGTGTTGGGTCAGTATTGCAGGCTGGAGTTTATGGTGCTGTTCTGTTGTCACACTGTGCAATGCCTAACATTTTATAGATCCTGTTTATACAGCTGAGGACATACTAAACTGAATGTACTGTGTATCTTGAGGATCCCAGTGTCGAAAAGATTTTTAGGACAGCCTTGTGCAATGTTTGGCAAGTATAGATTTAAATGTTGTAATTATCCATCCATCCATCCATCCATCCATCCATTATCTATACACCCCTTAATCCTCACTAGAGTCGTGCGGGGCTGGAGTCTATCCCAGCCGACTTAGGGCGAAGGCAGGGGACACCCTGGACAGGTTGCCAGTCTATCTACCTATGGACAATTTAGAATTACCAATTAACCTCAACATGTTTTTGGACTTGTTGGAGGAAACCGGAGAGCCCAGAGAGAACCCACGCTGCACGGGGAGAACATGGAGACTCCACGCAGAAAGAGCCCGGTGTCCTCACCGGGATGCGAATCGGCGACTTTCTTGCTGTGATTCAATGGTGCTAGCCACCGAGCCACCTTGCAGCCCATGTTGCAAGTATAGTTGTTTTAATTATTGAGTAATTTGCGGTCTTGTATTGATTATCTGATTAAGTATTTAGTCTCTAGAATTTCAAAAAAAGTAAAAAATAATCCTCACAATTCCTCAGAGCCCAAGATGGAGTCTTCAAGCTACAGTGTAGTTCATGAATTACAAAAAAGCAGCACATCCACAAGTCCATACAAATATTTTTAAACATTTTATTGCTTGAAAAATGTCTGAAATGATTACTCAGTGGTTAAAATTACCGTAACTTTTTTATTATTAAACTAGTTTTGGCTGCCTTAATGGATTTTATTCTTTGTGTTATCTTGCATTGAAATATTTGTGTCAATATGTTATTCCCAATTTGTAGGAAAGTGCAGTAAATAAAACCATAAACTATCTGTGGCTTCTGCTGAATACAGTGACTTATGGCTACATTATGACTTCAGATACTCCAGTCAGAACAAACCAGGTAACTATTATGATGTCTCTATGAAAGCACCTTAAAATGTCACAAGCACTGAAGAGTGTAGTAGCTCCACTTATATTTACATTTGTGTTTTGTTTTGTTTCTGCTTTTGTTTTTGTTATTAGTGCAATGAGTTGCTTTGCTTTCACCAGGTTGTATTGTGCATAGGTACATTACTATATACAGCACATCTACATGACAACATATATTATTGCTGAAGTCTTGAAAGAAATACTTTCTTTCGCTGATTTGACATGCTACTACATATACGGTCACATCATTTTAACTGAACAAAGTTTGCTTTAGAGGTGAAAGATCAGTCGATCAACAGAGTAACATTCTACAGGTGTTTTGTAATCAATCAGTCAAATGTTTTAGTCATTTTAGAGAAGAAGTAGGAAAATGTTCATTCTCGAGGCTGAGTTCTCAAATGGAAAGACTTTCTGCTTTTTTTCACATGACACTAAGCTAAACAACGGCATCACATGGGCAAACACTAATGTTTAGACAGCTCCCAACCCTTATTATCATTGGTGTAATGTTCCTTTACTGAACAGATAACCCCTCTAACCCTCGGAAGGCATCAAAGCTGTGTCTATGTGTGTGCCTCGTCTCTGTACCGTTTGCCTTGGAGGGTTTAGCTGCTCTTCCTTGTGCCCCAACAGTATCGTGCTCACTTCAGCAGCACATCGCTGAAAGTGGGTCTTCGACTTGCCTGATAGCTTTTGACAGCTCACTCTCATCCCCGGTGGATCAATGGAGCTCAGCACTCTTCATTAGAAACATCAATGTACCGCACATTCCCACAGGCTCAACAACAACCCACCAGCCCAGTCAGTGAAGATTATTTTTTTTATTTTCCAAACTATCATTCTTGACTGATATGTGACATTTTATTTTTTTCAACAAATGTAGGAAGGAAAAAATACTTGTTTGCCTGTTACTAACTGATGCTTAATATATGAGTATTCACAACAATTTAAGCATTGTTGATCAAACATCACCTTTCATGTAAAAAAAAAGACAATGTGATTATTGTCTATTTTGGTTTACATCATATGTCATTTCTAGTACCAAAGGATGAATCATTCTTGTTAGTGCTGAAACTATTTGTCACATTAAGATACAATAGCCAAAATTTTGATAATAACTTCATCTTTAAAGTAATTTTTTCATTCAAAAAATATCTGAATATTTGCCGGTTGTGGTTTTCTCGGATAAGCAGATTGCTGTCTTTCGTGTTTTAATCTTGGGGTTTAGGACTGTTCATTGCACAAAACAAGCAATTTGACAATGTTGCCTCGGACTGGGCTGTAGTTATGATCACCATTATCACCATTATGTCAAATTTTAAAGTGTAAATGATGAATTCCTTAAATCCAGAGTTGTCATGTACAATTATGAAGATTGTCTTTGAAAACAAAGTCGTGTCATTCAGTTGACTTAAAAAAAAATTATGATACTCCCGTATAATCCGATACTCCTGTTTGATGTTAAGAACAACATTTTGTGCTGTTTCTAATAAGCTTCTGATTATAATAAGAAGCATTTTCTTCTGCTTATTTTCCTTACTGAAATACGCTTTTTACTTTTCAGCCAGAAATATACTAGCAGTGTAATTTTCACCTTCTACTTCTTTTTCCCTGTAAAATGCCTAAGCTAATTAAAAAATGTGATGCTTGAATTAATTCTTTCAAGAGTTTAAAAAGCCCCCTGGGCAATCCTGCGCTACTTTGCCTAACTGGCATACATTGGTCTGTCTGGTTGTTGTTTATATTCAAATAAGGGGAAATGAGAACTTGAATTATACAAGTGAACGCTCTGAAGGAGTTTGCTATGTGTCGATGCAGGCTGCAGGGTTCATTGTAAACACGAGTGTTGCGTCAGCAAACGCTTGAAATGATGGCATCACACATATGAAATGTTGTTATGTGCAACAAGGAAAAAAAAATAACACATACGAGAGACACTGGAGACAGTAGTTGGCCACAGAGGTTGTTGTCATGATGACAGTAGTGAGTCTGAGCCAATGGCTGCTTTACTGTCATCATCTGCTTTTTGATTGGCTCTCTGACAATGTACTCAGCTAATCATTGAAATAATGCAGCCCACCTGTTTCATTGCATATACATAAACACACCCAGACATATACGTGCACACACAAAAGCACACATATGCATTTACACATATTCAGCAGGCAGCCGTCACACTGGGAAACGCACTGTGTTTCAGTGTCTCTCTCTAGTCTAATCATCAATAATGCATGGCTTTGGGAGGATGAAAGGCTGTTTTGGCTTGAGGCATGTGTCTCATATGGAGAGAGAGACATCAGGGCTCGTAGTTATAACTGTACATCCATAGACAAAGTGAATGCTCCTTTACATGGCTGTCCTCAGTAGAACTGTTCCGCAGGCTGAGACTAGGCAGATTTAACGCCCAATATGCAGTTTTTCAAATTAACTGATATCAGGAAAGTCATTTTTTTTCTTGATTTTATTGCAGATCTTTTTCTTGTGTCTGCATTGAGGGTCTTAGGATAGACGGTTTTGAATGTTGTTCTTTTTGCAAAGACAAGATTGTAAAGAGATACAGGCCGATTTGGGATTTAAAGAAACATCTTGACTTTTGGTGCAGCAACATTGACACTGAACTTGTTTATTGCTCATTCCTAAAACTACATGTTAAATGTAAAAAAAATCTTGATTAGTCTAAGTTTAGGCTTTTCCTTTCTTATTTAATCTGTTTCGGGTGTAGTTTTGTTCAAATCATGTATCATACAGTAGCATTGATTTTAGGGAAATTTCAAGGTGCTTCTGGGCCTATTCTAAGATATACTGCTGTGCTACAACTCCTTTTCCCATAATGTATGATGTGATGCAATGACTTTTTCGTCACAAGCCTTAGCTGGCTGAAAGTTGGGTCTTAAATTGCCAGTTTAACAGGATCCCTGTTTATATGTAGTGGCCATGTGCAGGCAACATTTGTCACTATGAAGAACATATGTATGAGTGGTTGTTTGGCTGACACAGTTAGCAAATCAGCAATCCTTTTTAACTTAAAATGACTCGTTTTTAACTCATTGTTGTGATAATTAATGTTACTGAACAGTCACATGCAACAACTTCCTTTATTTTCCTGTGATGCCTTTGGTTATAGACATTCATATGTAAATACAGTACAGTGTGCGTGCATATGAGTGTGTGTGTTTGCCATGTGTATATGCCGGAGTGCACGCAAAAGCCCTTTGAAGTTCCTCATTCACTCCATACTCCTCTTCCCCATGTCTCATCTCTCTTTGAACACCATGTAGCCATGATTATTAAAGCCGCCCTCTTTCGACTTCAAACGTATGGAATGAATATGGATATGATATAACACCAAACTCTCCTCCAACACCCTTTGCTCCAGTCCAGTCCTGCCGTGTGGTGAAGTTTGATAGGCTCTGCCCGGTGATCTTAAACAATCTCTGTTGGCTTGTCTTTGAGTTGAGGCATGAGCTATTGGACTAGTTGCATATCTAGAAAGATATGGAGTTAGAGCGGAACATGCAAACATTTAATTTTACTCTTGCTACTTGTTATGCTTTTCTCTTCCTGGTATTCTCTCAGATGCTCTTTTAAACATTGTCAGCTTCTTCATCCCCTAAACATACAATCTAGTACATTACAATTCGCATTCATTTTCTATCTTTAACCTGCCCTCCAGTCAGAGTGTTTTTAAAGGTGTCATAATAATGTTATAATTCAGTTTTGCATATATGCCTTAGACCATTAACTATATATTGCTTTTTCCAGAACAGACATTTGTTTTTATACCTTTCTCAGTTCTCAGAGTGACCTTGAACACACCAGGAAATTCATTTGCTTGCATCTGTAGTACCATGTGATGATAATACTACTTATACAAAATGATGTAAAGCACATGACAATAAAATTGTGTTTTTGCTTATCATTACCTCACTTGGATGCTTGATCGCCACCGCACAAAATGATGTATGATGTGTAGGGTTTGACACTAGAAGTATGTTTTGACATTCATCTGCTGAACAAGGAAAATTTCCTTGTACTCGCCATAAATCTGAGTTTAACAGGTGCACATGTATGAGTGTGATTTTGTCAGCTCAGGAACTTGAAACATCTTGTGTGCAGAGGTTTGTCTTTAGTCTGTCCTTTCTTATTCAAAAACCAGAGTATTTATATGTTCATAAAACATGTCTGGAGGATCTTTAAGCTGCTGACCAAGTAAACGTTCACTGTGGATAATCAGACATCAGGTTTATATTCATATCATTGTGGCAAGAGCTGCACTCCTGGAGAACTTGGAAGTTGAGATGTGGAAGTTGGAAATGTGAAAATGTATGTATAATTTGAAAAATAGTTGACTAAAGCAAAACCACCATGAGAACCTATAATCCCTAAAGAACTTAATCCAGTGGCCTTTCTGGATTGCTGATTTGACTGAAACACGCTGGCATAGCACCCTGTTCTTCTTACTCTATGTGGTATGTGAAGCATTGTATATTACTGTACAACTCCATATTGGACAAAACCTGAGGTGATTTGGATGAAAATAATTTTCGCTGCTTTCCTGCTAGCATCATGTACTGGTACATCTCTGATGACCAGCGACATAGTTCACCACCCTGTTCTGCATTTGGATCAATAACTCAATCAATCAACTGGACTGCTTTTGTTTGGTTAGCACACAGGTCTGGTTTCACTCCTTACTGTTTTCCCATTCCTCAAGTTAAAATACGGTTTATTTGCATGAATAGGTTAACAGCCAGCTAATGCTCTGTCTCTGTCACTCCCTCTGTTCTCATCTCTTAGGCAAAACGCTGGCTAAATGAGGGAGGGGAGGGTCAGCAGGGGTTCAATGAGTGGAGGCAGGATAATTTGGCTGCATAGGATTAACTGTGTTTTTGTGTGTATGTGCATACATGAATGAAGGAGAGAGGCTGTATTTGCTGTTTTTGCAGGACACAGCTACTATCTTGTGTGGTTTTCTGCCCCAATTCTTTCTTAAAAGCCCCTTTAAAACACACACACACACACACACATACACACACACACACACACACACACACATACACACACACACACACACACACACACATACAACAAATGTTTTCTCATCTTTTTTTTTTTTTTTTTAATGTTGAAGGACCATCGGGTTTATGGATCTGACTATATAGTGAGCTGGTGACCTTGTTGACGAAGTGACGGTCTCTTACTTCAGGACCATGGTGAGTTGCTTTCTCTGGCTCTCTCTCTCGCATGCATGCACAGATTGTATAATTTCCATTTCTTCAACCCAGCCTGACTTGCATGCACATGGAGTTAGAGTGAAAGCACTCAAGCAAAAACAGCAGTGAAATCACTCTGAGTTTTTTCTCCCTCCTCACTTATTTTTCATTTCTGCCTTCTATGTTTTTTTTTTCTTTTCTCCCTCCATCTCTTCATTTTGTGTTGTTGATACCACGTCACAAGCCCTGCGCCCTCAGTCCCTGGCACAATCTCCTGTAGCCTCTCAACAGCCGTGACAGGGTGTCTGTCTCTGACACCATATGGCCTTCTCTGTATGTTGGGGTGTATGACGCCAGTGCCCCTCTCTGCTGCTATGTGACCTGCAAATAGAAACACAGTCAGGCCTTATTTTTCCTTTTTGTAGATCTTCATTTTGAATCATCGCAATCTACAACTATAAAATTAATTGAATTAAATCCCACCTTCACAAATGATAAATTGAAGGTTTTGCTGTTTGTGGTAAAATGATGCCATTATAATAAGATCTTTTTCAACAATTGTCTATAGTCAAATAGCTATTTGTGTTGCTGGTGTGAATCAGATGCAACATCTATATTTAAATAACAAAGGCTATTCCTGATGTATCTTGTCAAACAGTCTCAGCTGTTGCCCTTTGGGAGCATTGTACCAAAACCCAGAATAACACAACTAAGGACTTTAACCCAGCTGCAACAGCCTCACTTGCACACAAAATGATAAAACCTTCTGTCTCTGTGTAGAAACTTTGTGCCTGTGCAGGTATGTGAATTGATGATACCAGGTCACTGTATCTGCCTTACAAATGTTTGGTTGAATCCCTGCTCATAGCAGCAGGATACTTTAAATAAATGTTTGCTGGTTTTTTTTCTTTCTTTTTTTAACTACCCAGTTGTTCTGAGAAAAACAGGAAAAGACAAAACAGGTGTGCAGTTGCCTCACTAAAGCCCCATCTGTCTGTGCATGGACGTATGGCTTTATGAACAAGCACTATTATGCTTCTTTAAAGCAAATGTATGTTGTAATTTTTGCCAGCTCATCTAAATTGTAAATTATACATTCCTAAAGCCATGTATCAGGCATATCAAGCCAAGAAAACAACTGTTCTCCTCTGCTTTAAGGCTCAATTTTGTGGTCTGATATGTTGACAGGGTTACTCATCGTTTCTTATTTGACGTAGTGGTGCATGCAGAAAAACTGATTCTATTAGCTGTTAGCAATTTCAGGCTGTACCTACACTACTAAAGGTGTCTCATGTCAGAAAAGCAAATGGCAAGTTGGAGAGGATATGACCCAAACTGTGGTTGAACCTTGATGTGTCGATGTAGCTTCCTGTTTGCTTGCTCGCCTCGTACTTCTGATTTTGCCTGTGTCCCTCTTGAGTTCAACTGCATGTTTTGAAAAACACAAGAACCGCCAAGAGTATGATTCTGCTTATCAAAATTTTAGCACCTTATTGTTTTTAATTTTCCTAAAATAAAGACCTGGTGATATTGTTTCGAGGAGATTCCACTCTATTGCCAGATGTTGCTTCTCAAATATTGTCTACTTCACATGAACTGTTAAAATGTTTGGAAATAAATTAAACTGCAGCAAGGTGTTGCACACATTGACAGCTGCATTACATTCAGTAACGTGCCTGCATACACAGGCACATGCATGAATACAGAGGAAGCTCCTAAATGTAGATATAATCAGTCACAGTAAGTTAACTTCCAAGTAAAGACAGTCATTGGCCATGGTTTACAAAAATGAAGAAGTGGCTTTTAGCACTTTTTTTTTAACTTCTTCATTAAAAAAAAAAAAAAAAAAGAAATCTGTTTGCACTGAACACACCATCAGTATTTTTACTAGTTTTTGACAAGAGATCTATTCATCCATTGTAATTAACCTGTGTGGGTGTATGAAGCAATTCGAACAGTTTTAACAAGTGTAAGAGTCAGCCACATATTATGTGTATGTGTCATCACGATCAACCCAAATGTACACCTGTGTTAGAGAGTAGTCTCCACCACCATCATAAAACACCAAAGAAGAGAATATCTTTAGTAGGAATGGTATTTTTCCTTTCAGTAGAGCTCCAGAAACTTGGCGAATCAATTCCCAGGCATATTGTAGCTGTTTTGGAAGTACTTGGTGGTCTGTTACTAAGACACTATATGTTGGTTTGTACTTTAATTTATTAGTCGTCTGTACGTTTTTATCACTGTGTTGCAGCTACCTCACCAGCTAAGCCGTTATCTACGCTTATAGTTTGAGAATGAGACCATAGCAAATTAATGGTAAAAGGTATTTATTCTGATTCATTAGATTTTGATAAAGTGCCTTGGAAATGCTCCTGTGTGTCTTGCAGTGATTTTGCTGCCAATGTTAGCCAGCAAGCCATACCGGCAGGCAGTCTTTCTGCCCATATGCTGGTACAGAGGGGTTTTACTGTAATTCTCTTTAGCTGTGGGGGTTACAGATCCATTCCTGTGCTTTAATAACGGTGGGATTATCAAGGTTCAGCCAGCTATCCCTGCTCTCCCTTCCATCAGCTCACAGCTTCATCCAGCTTCATCCAGCTTCATCGATTCATCGATTCTTCTCCTGCTCAGGTTCTCCTTTTTTTTTTCTCCCCCATCTAGTCCTCGCTCTCTGCCTTTTTTTGCACTGTTTGGTTGTCTTGTCCAGAATTTCTGGACTCTCCTGTGCTCACTGGAATGGGTTACATCTGACTGTGACTGTTGCTCGGTATCTAGGGACGATCCCATTTGCTTGTGTGTGTGTGTGAATGTGTGTTTGCATAAGTGTGTGTGTGTGTGTGTGTGTGGGTGTATGCACTGTGTGAGGCTGTATTTCTATGTGTCTGGCAGAAAGTTAGATGTTCTCTTATGTAAGCGGGTCCTGGCTGGGTAAAGCAAGGGTTTAGCTTGGGGATGCTGGCTCAGGTGGAAAGATGGAGACAGATGCTATTTTGGGTTTACTGCACTCCTTACATCCTCCAAACACATGAGTTATTCACTCACATGGGTCTCATAGTTCTAACAGGATGAAAGGACAATAGAAAAGAGATGTACTGTGGTGGTGCACAAGTATCTGTGCTTCATCATCTGCCATGCCTGTCAAGTGTACTGAAATTCAAAATGGATTTTTTTTTTTTATTATTTCATTTATTTGCACATATTGTTGCTCTGTAGGGCTGCAAGGTGGCGCAGTTGGTAGCACCAAGAAGCAAGCAGCAAGAAGGTTGCCGGTTCGCGTCCCGGTGGGGACACCGGAATCTTTCTGCGTGGAGTTTGCATGTTCTCCCCGTGCAGCGTGGGTTCTCTCCGGGTTCTCCGGCTTCCTCCAAAGACATGTTGAGGTTAATTGGTGATTCTAAATTGTCCGTAGGTGTGAATGTGAGTGTGCTTGGTTGTCTGTCTCTAAGTGTGGCCCTGTGATGGACTGGTTACCTGTCCAGGGTGTCCCCTGCCTTCACCCTAAGTCAGCTGGGATAGGCTCCAGCCCCCCCACGACCCTAATGAGGATTAAGCGGTGTATAGATAATGGATGGATGGATGGATGTTGCTCTGTATTGCCAGTCACAGTGAGTTACTTCTGTCTTATAGAAAAGTGATCCAGCTGGCAGAACTTTTATCGGCAACTATTCTATTAATCAATTCATCAGTCATGTGTTTATCACTTCCCAGACAATAAGTTCAGACTCCAAGCACTGGCCAAGATGTAGTCCAGCATACAACCCTCCCGAAAGTAGTGAATAGTCCTTGTTCTACTTTTGTGTTGTATAGTTGGGTTAATAAATAAGATATAGTGTGATAATTAGTGAGCTTTAGATGTGCATGTAATCTAATTTGGTTACTTTTGGACAATGCCAGCCAGGCTGTATCCCCTGTGTACCTACATAGTCTTTGTGCTATGCTAAGCTAAGCTAAGCTAAGCTAAGAAGATGCTGGCTGGAGGCTTATATTGAAGAGACAGGTAGAATGGTCAAATGATTTTTGTTACAATTTTAGAAAGCGCTTAAAATACCTACAATAATTGCTTAAGGTGTGAGGTGATGTCTTAAGTGTCGTAAAGTCTTTCTTAGTCTGAGCAACATTCCGAAACGTGGCAAAAAACACTTACAGACTTGAAACTAACTAAACTAGCAACTTAGATTTGTAGATTTTTTTTTTTTTTTGCAAGTAAAAGACATTTCTCAAAGAAAAGAGATACAGAGCAGAATCTCTTCCTTTTTTGTAGGTAGGTGATTTCCCCTAGATTAACATCACCATTTTCAGTGTTGAAAGGATTCAGATTTTCTTCCTTTGAACCTGCACGTCACCAGGCGAAATGTTTTAATTGTTTTTTTCACAGCTTTGGTAATATTACACACACTCTCTCTCTTTCTGTTTATTTATCTCTGTTAATTTTCCTCCGTGTCTGTTTCAGGACATGGCACTGGCCTGGTTCCAGTCTCACCTGCCCTGCACACATCCCAATAAAGTTTGCTGAACAAGACTGCGTGGAGAGCCATGCTGTCAGGTACTTGGCGCCGCTCTGTGGGGCATCAGCAGCCTGCTGCAGCGCCTGCAGTGACTCCCAGAGGGATGACGGTGTGCGGTGTCCCCAGCGGTACAGTGGTCCTGGAGGCCCAGTATGACTACAACTACCGCGGTGCAGACGGAAGGCAGGTCTGCATAAGAGAGGGTGAAAGGTTTGTTCTCCTGAAGAAGACCAACACTGACTGGTGGCAGGTGAGAAAACAGTTTATCTTTTGTTTCTCTTGTGACAATGAAACCATGAATATTAGAAAAGCAAGGGAATAGTACCCACACCATTCTGTAGGTCTCTGGGAAGTTTTGGTTAAACAATACAGCTGGTATATCTTTATTGTCAACAAATCCCATGAAAAGAACAAAACTAACACAGTATCTGTCTCTAGTGTCTCGTATACAGTAATAGTACAATTCAGCTGAAAAGTCCCAGAGTCACAGCTGAGTCACTAATGGCTTTTTGATACACCGAAGAGCCCAGAATTTTTGCTTTTTATAGAATCTGGTTGCTGCTGCTAATCTAGTTTTGGTGAACTATGTACATTTACAATAAACAGATTGCAATGAAATATCACAATTTTAAGCTTGATTTAAGCTTGGTAATTTTCCAGTCACCTGTGATTAGGACTGCAATTCAAGGATCATCAGAAAGGTGAAGATGAAGCTCTTTTTACTTTGTAAAGTTTCAGGATCCAATAAATATTGTTGTTTTGGTGATTTAAAAAAAAGAGAGATAACATTCCTTTTTTTTCAGCAGGTTTTGAGGTTCAGGGGATTAAACAGAAGTAAAAATTGACTCTTGGTATTTTTTATGGGATTTGTTTACTGTTAATTATTAATTTCAGCTGACCTGTCTTTTATTTACGTTACAACCATGTTATTACTTACTGGAGGTAGGTATTTACATTTGTGTCACAGCAATGAGGCTGAGGCTCTGAGACACTTCTCAGTCAAGTAAGCACACTCGCAGATAGGAGTGAACAATATAAAGACATTCTTCTATTACGCAATTAATTCAACATGAGAAGTGATTTAAGGATCAAATAATCAGGAACTGACTAATAACATGAACACAGAAATCCTGTAAAACTCCAAATTACTGTTGGGTAGTCCTGGTAAGTAATTTGCACCATGACCCATATTGGTATAAAATCTCCAGACATATTGAGAAATAAGCAACCTTTCATATTTAGTATAAACCTTTCTATGGCAAAATGATGGTTGAGAGATGTCTATTAGCTCATGGTATTTTGTGTCAAACTGCCCCAAGAAATACATTAGAAAAATAGACATTAGCCACAATAAAGTCTTGTGGAGAAAGTTTTTTCAAGTAGAAGTTGTGTGTTTTCTCATTGCATCTGCTGTAGATCACAGGAACTGACATTTCCACAGTGGCTTCAGCCCTCAGCTGTGTTTGTTGCCGCTTGGTTGGACTAAGTGGATTTATGTGGGAGAAAATAGCAAAAGCATTGGGAAACCTGTTTTTGTTCTTTGACAGGTGCGGAGGATTGGGGCAGCCAGTAAAACAAAGCCACTGTACGTTCCTGCCACGTATGTGACAGAGGTACCTATTGCCCCAATGCCCTCGCCCCAGCGCCTGGTCATGTCTGCCTCGCTGAACACCAACCTCAGGATACTGCCTCGGGTGTCACTCTCTCCCGGTCCAACAGGGACGACCTATAATGAACAGCGCCAAGGTAAAGTGCAAGAAAGAGGAAACCCTTGGCTTTCTAGTTGCTGTTACTGTAAAAGTAGAAAAACAGCTGTACAGTCACTGTCAAATAAGTTTCGAGCTGATCTGAGATTTTTTTTTATCTTCCTCCTGCAGTGAACAAACCCATCTATCGCTCTATGGAAAACCTCAACTCCAGCAGTGCCTTCCAGGGGATGGACAACAGCACCAGCCTGGGTGGAGGCCGCTTCCCCACCCTGCCACTCTCTGGGTTCACCTTTACCCCCAACTCGTCCACCTCCTCGTCAGGCCACCTCATGGTCCCTGGGTCTTCTGCGGCTTCCACAGCCCAAATGGCGCCACCGAACCCCAGGGTGGTCCCCATGATCACTCGGAGCCAGAGCTCCAGCAACCTGCCTGAAAACGTGATGGAGAACCCATACGATGAGGTGGGCAGTGGCTTCAGCAGTGGCGTCAATTACAAGATCCCAAAGAAGTCTTGCAGCCAGTGGGACATGGTGGGAGCTTCAAACAAGAAGAATCATCTGCAGGTAGAGCAAACGTGAAACTCACACAGATGTTACTCAAACAACAGTAAAGTTGTTTTTTGGTTTTTTTTTCCCATAACAGTGTGAACAGCACAAATGACAATAAACCTGATCTTTTCAATTTTCAATTTAGCCACTTCTATTTGTTAAAACAGATACAAGTCTGATTCTTTTTAATGCTGTCTCAGGCGGCAATTTTTTGCTACTTTTAGGTCACTCTAGATTTACATTCATCACAGTTGTGCACTGGTGAGAGTCACTTGGTGAATCTATGACTTTTTGCAGTGAGACAAACAGGTTAGACAATGTCCACACCTGTTTCCAGTCAATACAGGACAATCCTATGTGCTTTCTGTGGGAGACAAGTGTCTTGCTGTGAGCGCCTTGCACAGAGATGTTGACAGACAGTAGTTAAAAGTAACCCTCAACATCCTGAAATTCTGCATTAAATCTGTTTCAGTTAATCCATTCACATCACAACCCCACCACTCCTGGCTCCACATTCACACACACCTCCATACAGAAGTGGCAGCCATTTCTCCAAAAGAGCTATAATTACAAATTTGGCTCTCCTTCTCCTTCTTCTCGCTCTCGTTTGCTCAGGAATCCACTGACTTCTGCTACACATCAGCTTAAAAATGAATCCATAAACGCTGACTTTAGTGGCCTGTGTTTACCTCTCTACAGCCGTGTGCTGCATGTGATGTCTTTGTTATTGTTCTTTTTCTTATGCGGATCAGTTCAAGACTGTGACCAGTGCAAACTGGTATCTGATATCGGATACATTTATAAATGATATGAACAGCCAAATGAAAAATTTAAATCTAATCTAAGAAATAAATCCAAATTAAGTGCTAAGCCTTGCAGTCACGGTATGTTATTCTGGTTGGAATCTGTTTTTTTTTTTTTGGTTTTTTAAATTTTATCTCAGACTTTTTCCTACCACCAACCTTTTTTTAGTGAGTAAAAGTCCATCCATCCATCTTCTCCCGCTTATCTGGAGTCGGGTCGCGGAGGCAGCAGCCTAAGCATAGCCGCCCAGACTTCCCGATCTGCACACACCTCCCTTAGCTCTTCCGGGGGGACTCCTAGGCGTTCCCAGGCCAGTCAGGAGACATAATCTCTCCAGCGTGTCCTAGGTCTTTCCTGAAGCCTCCTCCCGGTGGGACGCGCCCGGAACACCTCCCCAGGGAGGCGTCCAGGAGGCATCCGGAAAAGATGCCCGAGCCCATGTGACTGAGCTCCTCACCCTATCTCTAAGGGAGCGCCCAGCCACCCTGCGGAGGAAACGCATTTTGGTTGCTTGTATCCACGATCTCGTTCTTTCAGTCATTACCCAAATCTCACGACCATAGGTGAGAGTAGGAACGCAGATTGACCAGTAAATCGAGAGCCATGCTGCCTTGCTCAGCTCTCTCTTCACCACGACGGTCCGGTACAGCGACCGCAACACTGCAGACGCCGCACCGATCCGTCTGTCAATCTCACGTTCCATCCGCCCCTCACTCATGAACAAGACCCCGAGATACTTGAACTCCTCCACTTGAGGCAAGGACTCTCCACCGACCCGGAGAGGGCAAGCCACCTTTTTCCGGTCGAGAACCATGGCCTCGGATTTGGAGGTGCTGATTCTCATACCGCTCGCCCCACACTCGGCTGCAAACCACCCCAGTGCACGCTGAAGGTCCTAATTTGATGAAGCCAACAGAACAACATCATCTGCAAACAGCAGAGATGAAATTCTGTGGTTTTCAAACCAAACCCCTTTCTCCCCCTGGCTGTGCCGAGAAAATCCGTCCATAAAAATAATGAACAGAACCGGTGACAAAGGGCAGCCCTGGCAGAGACCAATGCGCACTGGGAACAGGTCGGACTTACTACCGGCAATGCAAACCATGCTCCTGCTGCAGTCGTAAAGGGAACGGACAGCCCTTGAGTATAAGTCCTGCATTCAAAATCACTCTTTAGAAACAAGTATTATCAGTAAAATAGTCTTTAAGTTTCAAAAGTACGAGAACCTGTAGCAGCAGAATGAGTGTTGAGTGTTTATTGTGATATTAAATGATTACATTTTCAATAGTGATTCATCAGTGATAGTATTTTATACTGATGCTTCAGTTCTATATTTTACATATACAGTCAGTACTTTAGTTCTGCGATTCCCAGCTAACATCAGGGGGAAAGCAAAATTTAACTTCACAAATCTTTTATCGTTTTTGGACTTCTTGTGAAATATTTGATCATCTGACCTCAACCAGTTATATAATAAAACCAACTAAAATGGCTTGAAGTAAAAGCTCTCTTGGGGAAACTGATAAACTCATAGACATCTGCAGTATCATAAGAGGCTTTAACCAAACACTGTCTTTTTTAAGGGGCCTCAACTGGGATGGAAACTGCTGGTTTTAATCCTAAATAATGGATGTATTTTAGGCTTGAACTTTTTTTTATATAATCTTGTTCAGAAATGTAACTACTATGTGTGGGAGCCAAATTTGTGAATGCAGTGGAGCTCAGTATTGCCTTCTGAAATGTAGCAGAGTAGAACAACAGGGTAAAATAAAAATGAAAATACTCAAGTGAGGAGCAAATGTGCCAAAAGTATACTGAAATACAATGTTGCAGTAAATGCACATAGTTGCTATTCACCACTGTAACCAGGTTTACAAAAACTAGTGTGCTTTTATTTTAGACAAATTGATTCAGGATGTTTTCACACTGCACTGATAATCCCAGTAACATTTAATACTCATCCATTCATACCTCCATGTCTCAGTTAGTTGTAATTAGATGTGCTTGATTTTATATGTTTGTAAATCCTCATCATACTCAGTTACTCCAGTAAAAGTTTTAAAAAGTGATTTATTTTCACTAAAATATTGTTTCAGTTTCTCCTTGAACAAGACATGTGCTTATTTTATTATTTCTGTTAGATTGTCCAAAATTGGTTTGCATAAGCTTGTACAAGGAAAGGTCAAGGCAACAGAAAAGATAAACACAGCAGTTTTTAGACGTACATGCTATTCACTCTGTCCAAAAATAACTGAAACAAACCCGCTACTGTTAACAGTAATCAAGGTTTAACCGGTTTAGTGCAGCTGCTCTTTACATCTGATAGCCAGCAGGTAAGTGAACAACGTCTAACTTTTTACTGATTATAATAGATAATTAGTAAAGAGAACAGTGAAGGAAAATTATGGAAAGTGGGTCAAACAAATCCATCACATGTAGCGGATATTGAAGAAGAGTGGGATTAGATTCATTTTGACTTCCTCTCATTGGCAAAATCTCTAATCTCATGGATTTGCAGGTCATAACTCCCAAACTGTAATAATCCAGCTGGTGTTTTTATTAATGCTGTGACCAGGCAGGGTAAACTGTAATGAACCAAATACAAAACTTAAATCAACCTCATACAAAAAAACCCAAAAGAGTTGAATTATAGAATTCTTTACTGGTTTACTGTGAAAATTTTGCGCTCCTTTTTTTATTTTGCATTTGCATTCATATATAATGAGGCAATTTTTTTAGGAAGAAGAAAAGAACAACAGGAATATCACATTACTATAAAAAGCCTTGTGTGTCTTGTTTGAATCCCACGAGATGAGGCTGTGTTTGATTCACGCTGGTGCTTGACCTTTATAATCCTCCGAGAGCAGCAATCAAGTTAGCATTGTGGTGACGCCAGAGCTTTCCTGTATTACATCAGAGGGGATTACACAAGGCGTTGTTGGTGAGACGAATACTCAAGGTTATCCTTCTGTCAGCTGAGGGAAACTCCCACAGCCGACTATCCTGGCTGTCTCCCCAAATACACTTTTGTTTCCACTGAACTGTGCGTGTGTGAGTGACTTTCGACTTTGGATAGATGTTATCTCATTGGAAATGACAATGCTCTTTTTCTATCTCTTATGTCTCTTCCTCCCGTCTGTCTCTTTCTGTGTCTGTATCTGTCCCTCTCGCTCTCTGAGGACCCTCTTCATTCGAGCCTTTAATACCAGTAAGCAGGATTATTGTAGCCACATTCCGGGCATAACTCCCTGTTTTTCAGTCAGAAAACACTCTCTGACCATACATTTCTGCTAGTTCTTTTTGCAAAGGGAGCCACATTAATGATGTTAGTCCTCCAAGGAGTAAAATGTGTTTGAAAATGAAAAAGACTTTGCCAGTGAACATTTAGTTTTCATTGGTGATAACATGTCTATATGGTGTTTTTTTTGTTGTTTTTTTTATGTTAGAGGACATATCATGAGCGAAATAAGAAATCAGCAACATAGCGGAGCATGTCTCTCTTGAAGCTGTGGTGTAGCCCACTGATGATTGCCTCAAAAATACAGATTCAGACAAACAGCGACAAACAAAGACAAACAAACCTAACGTACCAATCCTGGTAACTTGCAGGGTGGGGCTTTCTGTATCATTATTTTTCTTCACAGTTTGAACATGTATGATTAAACTACCCCACTATAACAATTGTAGAGCAGCTTTCAGGTGTTGCAGCAGAGTTAAAGGTGTTTAATTGTCAGGTACTGCATGACCACCGCTGACAATGACATGCTGCTAGAACAGCTTCTGCTCCTCTATGAAGACTTTCCACAAAATCTTAGAAATTTGCATTGACAAAAAAACTCTCCTCGCCCAAATTTGTTGCATGGTTTTAAAATTAGTGCCCAGAATAGATCATTTGTTTGCTCTGCTCTCAGTGTTTTTGTGGATTTTAACTTTGTCATGTCATGCTGAAACAGAAGTCGCCTCCCACAAACTTCTAAATTATCGGATTGATTTCATGGCAGGCTTTGCACTAAAAAAAGCAATTCAAATAATCACCTTGAACAAACTTCAGCTAATTTACTGCTATTGCATCTGTTGCATCCTCAGTCAAATACAACTTTCCACAGAAAATGAATTTCTGAGAATGCGGGAAGACTTAAAACACACACGAGCAGCTTGCACACACACAGACACACAGCACACATGCAACATCTGCTGTCTAGACTCCTGCTCCCACACAAACTAAACCTTTCATGCAAAACATTTGTGTGCAAAACATAGAAAGTTCTCACATCCCACAGTGCCACATTCACGTCAGATGTGTCAAACCACAGGGATAAAACATTACAATCCAAACTTTACACGAGTTAGTTGTTGGAGCAGACACAATGTCATAGTATATCTAGAACAATGCTGCAGTGACCAGTTCTCATGGTTTAAGTCTATAAAAGTTTCTATATATTGCTTAGGTCATTTTGCGGTAGCACCACGATGAGCAAGCATAAATATGTACTTAGCCACAGCTGGAAGGAAGATAAGAACATCAAACCTGAAGAAGGACAGGAGATGAAAGAGGAAATGAAAGACGAAACATAGAAAATAAAGACATTTTTGTTAAAAGAGTAAAAAAAAAAAAGAAAAGAAAAGAAAAGAAAAATGTGCTAGTTAATACAGGAAACATCAAGATAATTGATTGTATAACCAATAGCTCCATTCAGTTCAGTTACATGTCTATTTCAAGGTAAACTGTCCATTTTGACACAAAGTTTCATTCATAATTTAGCCAAAATACAAACTGCAAAATGTGTTTTGGTGAACAAGTGTTTGGGACGTCAGCAATTCATACAAATACACATTCAAACAAAAAGACAGCAGCTTCCCTGTGTTGTGCACAGACCACTGTTCGAGGCATTAACTAGTTGTTTCTTTTGTTTGGCAATTCAGTTAGTTTGCTGATTAATTGTAATTATTTTCATTATATGCACATTTGTACTAACTTCCTTATCAGTTTTATGGTGTTGTTAATCAGTCGCAATCAAAAATATATGCTCCAAAAATCATACTCTGTGATTTAGTCACAGTTTAAGTTGCTTTCAGTTTTAAAATGGTGTTGGAATGCTTTTCAATGTGTATTTTTAATCAGACACAGCCCCATTTGACCCTGTTGAAATAGACTTGATATGACTGCTGAGGTAAACAGAAGGAAGCAGTAGAACAGGTGAGTCAGAGACCCAGTGCTGCCCCCTGGAGTAAAACACATCCTTTTTTTGCATGTGCCTCATACGCACATGCAAACACACAGGATCCGTACATGCCATGCTCCTTCAGTCATTTATCTGAAAGGCTGCGTTATGTAACAGGATCAACCAGCTAGTCAGTTAGTGAATTATGTCTCAGCTGTATCCTGTGGGATGTTGATCTTCCATGCATGTCCTCCAGTTAATTACAGTGGATTTATAGATCTCCTTCTCTTGTAGCTATTGCGGCAGTACCCTCTATCTGGGTGAGCGCACGCATTTTGATAAGCTCCGTCTTAATCCAAAGTCTGACAAGTTATTTAATAGTAAGAGGGAGTAGGATTTATTTGTTTCTCTTTGTGGTTTCTATGAGGTTTCTGTCTCTTTACACACTGGGATGACTGGCTTTGTTCAAGACCAATCTGCTACCTGTGGCTCCTGACCTGTGCTGTTATTTTTGTCTACTCATTGCAAGTCAAATTAATATGAAATACTGTACAAAAGCTATAAATACTAAAAGTAAAGTGAGGCTGCTTTAAAACGTTCCAATAGTTTATGTATATCAGTTGCACTTTTCATACCAAATTGCATTAAAATTACCCTCTGCCTTTAATAATAGCATCAATTCTCGTCGGTACAATTGGCACACATGTTGTTTCAGCATCTCAAAGAACTTACTTGGATTTCAACCATCTTTTCATATTCTAGTAATCCCAGGCAGACTCCACGGTGTCAAGATGAGAGCTCTGTGGCACACGATGCACACACACACACACACACACACACAGAGTCCTGCTGACAAAAAAAAAAAAAAGACCAAATATGTATTGATCCTCAGCAAAAAGTAGTCCCCAACAAATGTACTCCTTCTTGAGAAATAATCTCTCTCTTCCTCTTCTCTCATCTTTCATCTTTACTTCTCTCCCTCTTATTCTTCATCTTCTGTCCTTTTCTCTTTCTGCCTCCAAGGTCCCAACTGAGTCCTACCTGTCACAGCTGTCCTGGCAGGACTCCCCTCTTTATACTGAAATGCAGCCAGAGAAGCGTCAGTCACAGCTGGAGCCGCCCAACCCTGCTCCAGGTCAGCAGCCTCTTCAGATCCTGGACCTGTGGGAGCAGTACTCTGACCAGGCTACAGGCAGGTGCTACTATGTCAATAGCATCACCAAGGAGAGATCCTGGAAACCCCCTCGCCGGGCCCGAGGTCAAACCACCAACAAGGTGAGGCACCCAACACAGCGGGATCACTCCTCCTGAATTCATTTATTTTTATTCTTGCCCTGAAATTGCCTTAAAATGTGAAAAGGTTGGCATTTTTCAGAGCTGGATGAAAGTGTCGTCTCTCAAAGGAGAGGATAGAAAAGGGTCAGGGTGTAGAATGAAAGAGAATGCTCATTTATATGCTCACATGGTTTGACTGTATCAGCACTAAAAGGAACCTTTTCAGCCAAAGAACTTCATAAGACCTAAAGGATAGCAGCCTGGATGGCATTTTTCTCTCTTTACTTAGACACAGAGGGTTGCAGACACATTGATCACAGGACTGATTTTCCACAGCTAGTGTCTAGTGCACGAGGGGAGACTCATGTATGAGTGGTAGATACTCGATACAGTATATTCTCACTTTGGCACAGGGTCACATTGAACTGAAAGTGGTCTGTGGAGTTTTTTGTAAACTGATAAAAGTGATGCTTACCTCCACTGTGGATTCTTGTCTTTTACCAGCTGACTTAAACATTTTCAAGTCTGCTTTGTTTACATTGATGCTTGCTCGCTTTTAGTTTCCCCTAAAAACACTACTCGAAATTAAAAAATCCACACGGTTACACATGGAGAGTCTTTACAGATTGAACAAGTTTATTGTAGACAGACAGCTTTACAGAAGGACTTGGACATACTTACAAATTATACACTTTCATGCTTAGAGGTGATTGATAGATTGACTCTCATATCTGTCTATTAAATATAAATCTATGGTCAGCAGCTGGTCAGCCTAACTTGAACACTATGAAACAGAGGGAAAGAGCTTAGATCTGTCTAAAGGTAACAAAATCCAGCTACCAGCAGCTCTAAGCTCACTAATTAACACATTATGTCTGGTTTGTTTACTTTGCACAATAGCTGAAGATAAAAATATCAAGGTTTAAGAAGGTTTTTTGCTATTTCTTTGTCTGAAAATTTCTTGAACTATAACTATCAGTAAATGTTTTACAGAATATCAGCCTGTTGTTTTAATTGTAACTAAAATGGAACAAAAATAACTAAAACGGTTCACAATGCAGTGTACTAACACCCTAATGCGCTAATGTTATCTTTGTAAAACTTTAAGTGTTTAGTGTTTGATACGGTCAAACTGCTGTCAGTTTATCAGAATAGAATAGATTTATTTGAGGCAATAATAATAGCTAAGAATGTGTTTAAGACCTTCCTGTTTCACAATCTGTGTATGTTTCTCTGGCAGGCCAATCAAGTACATCCTCAGACGTTACCCAGGGACACCAGCCATCTGTCACTACCGCTTTCTGAAGCTGGCAATGGAACTATGCACAGGGTATGTATACTGTTCTTCTAAAGAGTTGGTAAAATTCAACTTTCCTGATGCCGTTTTGTATAATTTAGCACCTACTTTGGAAATAGCTTTATTAGTATTTGGAACACCTTTTGCACTGGCAGGGTCACAGGATATGTGAGTATTTGGGAGACTGAGATCAGAATGAGGATCACAAATGAATCATTATCATTGTATGACCTAGTTGGAAAAACGCATGATGTGCTACCACTGTTGTTTTTTCCGCACTCACCAGCCATTAACATATGCATGTTAGCAACAGATTTAATAACTGAAGTAAAAACTGACAAAAGAGGTGGAAGGAGGACTTTCTGAGGCTGGAGATTTCCTTTGAGCTTCATGTTGGGATATGTTTAGCATCTACAAAATATATAGTATTTTAATAAACATGATACATTTTTATATTTCATTATGTTTTGTTTATTCATTGACTTTCTTAAAGTTATTTTAAATATATATATATTTACATCCCTGTTTTTTTAACCCTCTGAACCCCAGAACACACTGGTGGGTTTGAAATTCTTATCTTTCAAAAAACAAAATCGGCAGCATGACACAATTTATTGGAGCCTAAAAATGCAGCCTGAATCGTTGGATTTTTGACTTTGTGACAACCCTTGAACTCACCATGTGTGGCATGCCATTCCATCAGGATCTAATCTGAGCTCAAAACTACAATGTTTCATAAAAAAAAATAAAATTTCTACATGTGTCATTAAAAAATTCATCAAAAAATAAATTGTTCGCTCAACCCAGATTCTGTAAAATGACAAAAAATTCTGCGCTCCTCAGCACAACCGGGAAGCCATGAATAACTGAGCTCCAGCCCACCATCACGTGACAAAAGTTTAGAGGGTTTTCAGCTAATCCGGGATGAACTGCTGTGCTGTGTTTACATACAGCAAATAGGAGACAAGTATGGAAACAAATTAGGGAAGTAGTAACATCTCTATACTATTTAGAGTCATCCTGTTTTCATCATGTTGTGCATGATGATTCTAGAGATTTTTACAATTTTTGTAAAACAAGTAGTCATAGAAATTAAGCTGCTGTATTTTTTATTTATTTATTTATTTTTTTTAAAGATTAATGACATTAGAACTTTGTCATACTGCAGAGAAGACATTTTTTGAGTTCTTTCTAGCTTCTTCTAGCCATGGTTATGCTATTTTCATAGAGGTGCAGCACTTTATGACTTTATGTTTACGACACTGTGTGCCAAACAAGCATTTAGTCTGAGTAGTTGGATGAGTTTTTTTTATGATGATTCATTTGGTTCTTCAGAAGTGTCAAGAATCTTTTATATTCTTAACTTATTGCTCTTTTCTTGGTGTAAATCATGATTAAGCGTATTAATAGCAGTTCTTATGTAACATTTTTAAGTGCGAACAGCTGTGCTTTGACGTCTGTAAAGGCAGACAGACAGGACGAACCACAGTGAGACAAAAAACCACACATATACACACTCTGCCCACCTCTCTCATATAAATCTGCTGTCAGCTTCTATCTCTCACAGCATCCAGACCGGCACTGAGTTCCAGATTACAGCAGAGAGAAATGCTGAGTACAGACAAATTAAAAAGAAGATTTTATTTTTCTAGCCTCATAATTTACTGACCGACATCACTTATTTATTTATCTATTTACTGTCCTCTGGCACACACTTTTGGGCTCATCCCTGAAGGTAATAACAAGCTAATGCCTCTCAATCTGATGCAGATGAATAGAAGCCATTAGGGCCACACAGAGGGAGGCAGAGGACTGTGTGTTAAATCCAAAACATTACAAAACATTGCTAAATTTAAACCACTCGCTGAAACTTCCCATCTGCCTTAAACCTCTACCAGACTGTGCAGATGCCGTCACAGTGAAAACTTTAAGTGCAGCATCCATTTCGTCTTTTTGTAAACTTAATTTTATACCCTTTAAATGAGCAAGTACATGTGTTGTTTCAGACGTAAAGATTTTGGGAATCCATGCAACAGCTGTCAGTGACTGACACTGACCTGTCCGCCCAATCAATGACGACGTCTACACGGCGAAGCTCCGCTAACTCCATGATCCAGATTGTTAGAGATAAGCATTTTGCATCTCAAGGCTGCATTGCCTCAATGTTGCATCAGTGTTTCAAATTTAATGTTGCTCATCAAAAAATACCCACATGATCAAAGTAGTGATTCCCCCATCAAATCAGTTTGAGATGCATTCTGTTGACCTATATGTGTCACTTTTTATTCTGTGCTACACGTATTAACAAACAGGAACTGAACCTGTGATATATAATGCATTATGCAAGCCACATGGGTTTATGACCCAGGTGTTCAAACACATGTGGCCCATATTACTTGTTAGCACAGAGCGTGATGTCGTCTAGATTTTTTATTTTACCCTTTAGCATTTTGATTGTGAGCTAATCTGTTTAACTGCTGCCTTGAAGTGCAATTCTATGCACTAATGCCTCAACTGAGCTTGTATGCTTTTTTACTTTATACATGTTTTCTACCCTTAACACCTTAACTTAACATATTCTTTATATTTAACAGTGGAGCTGAGATGATTATCCAATGAATAGATTGAAAAACAATAATTCTTCTATTTTCAGCTTGCAAGGATTTTCTGCTGCTTTCGCTTCTTGAACTCTTGGTCAGACAAAACAACATATTTGCTGACATCATCTAGGGATTTGTTTTTTTTTGTTGTTTTTTGTTTTTTACTAATCCATCAATCAAGTAGATAATCTGAGGATTACTCAATAATGAAAGCAATTGTTAACGGCAGTTTCTTTTCATAGATACACTTCCTTGCTTTGCATTTCCAAGTTATGCAATACATATCAAGTAAATGAAAAATGATGCTTTATAATCGCTTAAACTGGTGGTTCCCAGTTCCGAAAGTTTTTTGGTTGATGCACCCCTATAACCCCATCGTCATCACCATCTGTCATGGTCCAAATTCCTTCATTAAAATGGATTTAATGCTGAATGTTATTTAACACTATTAATATGATAAAGGAGGGTGTTGTTACAATAACTGGATCTGTGGATCGCCAGCTCTGTCTCTGTTTTTGTCCAGTGGGATCGCTGCTCGCTACTTTCGTAATACTATGAATTGGCAGAAGTTTCTAGCATTTATTCAGTGCTTTTCTGCGTACTTTTCCTTATCTACTTGCTTGTTTCCACACAACCACGATTGCAGCTTGCTGCTTAACACCTGTCCCAGTTCTGTTGGAGGCAGGTTAAGTTGGCTTATCGTAGCAGGTAGTTTGTTGGTTTTTGTGGCAATAAATAGACTGAAAATCAGTCTCCAATTTATAATCTGTTTTCACTTTTTATTTTCTTCCATATTTTCAAATATCTTCCCACACACTGCCTGAGAACATTTTTTTGGATTCAACTATTATGCAGTCTTTAAAGTAGTTCAAGTGAACACATTATAATATTGCTTAGTTATTATAGCATCAAAAATAACAATTAGCCAATGTTGATCCATCCATTATCTATACACTTAATCCTCACTAGGGGTCACGGGGGCGCTGAAGCCTATCCCAGCTGACTCAGGGTGAAGGACAGGACAGGACAGGTCGCCAGTCTATCACAGGGCTACACTTAGAGACAACCAAGTACACTCACATTGATATGGCACTATAAAACATGCTATTATTAATTATGAGTAACTTTGCTTTTGGTGCATTTTAGTCACTGTAAGAGGCTGATTTACTTGTACTGAAATAAAGCATCTAAATACTTCTTCCACCACTGTCTCTGACTACACATCTTGCAAACAAAAACTGTTGGGCAGTGCTTAATGTGGCAATGTGAGCAGAGTTGTGGTATGATTATTCGGTCGAGCACACACCTTCCTGGCTGAGCTGCTGTACATGACACTCATTGTGCCGGCTGATAAAGTCAGCTTCCCTCTAGAATGGGGAAGTAGACACAAGCTGAGACAGGAGGGAGAGATGAATGGTTCTTACATTTTTATAGTCAGACGAAAGGGTGTCATGACATGAAATGACAGAAGGCTGAAGACGTCAACTTAACAGAAAACAAGCTCTCAGACACAAAAGTTGGCCTGGATTGTACGACTGGGTGACCAGTCATAATGAGCACCTTTGCTGTGAGTTCATTTTAGTTTCCTACTCAGTGCTGTTTAGTTAACCGTGTTGTGATTGTTGTTCTATACCATTAGAAGTGTTGGATTTTTGGCAACTCGTGGGAAATGAGCTGAATGTGTCATTTGACTGTTGTTGTAATATGATTTACTCATATTGGCTTTTCTGAGGGTACTGACATATACTAAAAGCTGATCTTGCAGTGTTTATGTGGAGCTGTGTAATGTGTAACCTAGTTCGACTGCTAGAAATCAACGTGTTTGAGTCAAATGTGTACTATGCAACAGCTGTTTCACTTTTACTAAGCAGCAACTGCCTAACCTAACTTCAGGTGAATACTTGTGTGTGTGTGTGTGTGTGTGTGTCCCCCCCCCGTGCTGTGGTAGTCAGTAAGAGAGCATTTTTAGCTGGCAGGATGTTAGCGCAGCTAGTTTCGGTGATAGTGTGAGTGTTGGACCTTTCATTTCTTAACTGAACAAATTTGTCAGCATCCTGTTTTTCACGTGGGTGTGAAATTTGCCTAAATTGCTGCCACTTTGGATCAGACTTACTGTTGCACAAATACTGAGAAAAGGCTCAAAAATGACACATTCTTTAATGTTTTTTGAAGGTCAGTTATGCAGAAAATTAAGTGTCTTTTAATGGTAAATTAAATATATGTTGTAACTGTTTATGTCTGTTTCCTGTCTTTGTCTTCTTGCCCCCCTCTTTCTTGTCTTTCTTTCTTTCCTTTCTTACCTTTTCTTCCTCTCCAGCTGTCACCTGATTTCCTCTTCGGGAGCCACCAGAGGAATACCGACGGTGGCTGGCAGATGAAACAGGTAAAAACTCTTGTCTACCTGATGCACTCTTTCATCGCCAGAGGGGCATCTAATGCATTTCACCGTGACTTTCACCTTGTAAAAAAACACCAGTCAAAGACTAAAGCACCCTTTTCCAGTTTTACATATTCTACCTGCACAACAGGATGCATTAGCTTAACAAAATGGGACATCATAGAACTCTGGTGACTTTGTCTGCCGGCTTGACTTTGTCACTGCATGAGATGAAACCCTTCTTCATGTTATGCTTGCATACAATATCTTGCACCTCCTGCACATAAATATCTGTAGACGCATTACGTGGACGGACTGTTTTTCTTTTAAAAACCCATAGATGATGTTTCCTTGTTTTTTTGTTTGCGTGCCTGATTGTGAAGATAATCCTAAGTGTTTTGTCAGCGCTTAAAGGGCTTTTAAAGGAGGGTATTTTCCTCATGAAAATCGATGAACTCCAGTCGTTAGATTTGCAAAAACTGCATCTCCACTGTATTACTGTAGAATATATTAAAGTAATGCCAGCTATGCTCTTTAGATTCTCAGAGATCAGCATTTATGCATATTAAGGTGGTGAAATAGCAACTCATGGTGTAAAAAGAAAGGCTGTTACCCAAGCAGTTCTTACTGCAACATGTTGCATCACAGTGGGGTGTGGGTGCACTTGGTTTAAAGCCCTTTTAAAGGCCTCCTCTTAGCAAAGGAGCAGATTTGGCTCTTAGTGCTAATCCTCCTTGCATGAAGAGATGGCAAACATTAGGAGGGATATTTAGTCTGATTGTTGAAACTAGGTTACAGGGATTGGGAAGGGTACTTAATTATGGCTGTTGCTGCATGAAAAGTTGAAGTTGGTTGAATTTGTACATTTGTGGGCAGTCATACACACTTGTATATGTACAAGCAGAGAGTTTTTAAGCATAAATATGTTGCATGTAAAGTACAGCTTCACATATCTATCTAGCTCTCCGGTGAAAACCATAATACATCCTTTGTCCCCATCTGCCAGGGTGTAAAGTGTTCAGTGTACAAGCTGTGTCAGAAAAGTTTCAGGACTGGTGTCACAAAAAATATATTTCAAATCCAAACTACAAACTACAAGTTTTCCCCTATGAAATAGTCCCCCTGGAGTCTAATCCACTTTCCCAGCCTTCTCGGCCACGCCGCCATGCACTCCTGGAAGGATTCTTCTGGGATCCTCCACAGCTCTGTCGTCACAGCCATCTTGATGTCGTTTACGTCTTCAAAATAGGTCCCCTTGATGACCCCCTTGAGCTTAGAGATTAGGAAAACATCACACAAAGCTAGGTGGGGTGAGTAGGGAGGTTGCTCCAGCATGACGATGTTCTTCTCAACCAGGAACTGTCGACTACTCAGGGCATTGTGAGCAGGCGCGCTGTCATGGTGAAGCAGCCACAACTTGTCCTGCCACAACTCTCACCTCTTCTTGCACACTGAACCAAGCAAACGCCGCAGGATCTCTTTGTAGACGTGCTGTTTGATTGTCTGAAGGGGAAAACTTGTAGTTTGTAGTTTGGATTTGATATATATATTTTGTGACGCCAGTCTTGGAGCTTTTCTGACACACCTCATAGATACTATTGAGTCTGAAGTTCATATCTGCAGGTCATGCAGGGAGATGACATTACTGTTCAAGTAGTGCTACTGCTGCACTGTTCTTCCCCAATGCGGAAACATTTGAAATAACTACAAAATAATTCAGACCTGATCTGACAAGGCAGAAGGTTCCTGATAGCTGCCACTGTGCAGAGAGAACTGAGAGTAGATAACAAAACTTGTTAAAGTACTGATACAGAGGCAGTGTTTTCAGCTGTTGACTAATGGGAGCAAAGATGACTTTAAACAAGTGCGTGAAGCATTTGTGGCACTTTTAAATGAGAGTTCTTATTTTAGACGTTTTACCAACATCAGACAACTTGTAAAAATAGATTAATCCACAAATACATCCTCTGAAAAAGGTCCCACTAGAAAAAATGACCTCATCTTTGGTGGAACAGTGAATAAAAAGCTGAAAGAGCAAATAGCGATAAAAAAAGAGGACCAGCTTCCTGCTTGTGGTCTAAACAAACAGTGGAAATTCAATTTTATTAAAGAAAAAAGAAAAAGATCAAACATAGGATTCAAATAAGTTGAGGTAATTGATCAGCTTTGCATCATTGTTTGTTTGTATTGCAATTAAGCTTCAAAGAAAATTGATCTCAATCTTGAGCTTATATAGGAAATACAGAAATATGGCCTTGACCTCTAAGTTGCTCTTTACTGTTTTATTGTTTGTGATTTTAATGGTTGAGATGTTTGTACTAATTGTGCTGTTGCACTGTGATTGCTCGAGGCAAGAGCATCAGCTAAATACTATAATATACTGTAAATGTGATGTGAAGAAAATGACTCCTCTACAGTTTGCTTAGTTAATCAGAAGAAAACAAACACATCAGTGCTCAGGCTTTAAACACAGTCTGCAGAGATAAAATACAGTGGAAGCATGTTATATTTTATTTTCCAGTTAACACACTGAATCACTGTCCGCCCCTTTTCCCTTGTTTCTGTTCCACCTTTGACAACTCACCCAAACATTTTTCCTTGAAGAGCATGCAGCGTGCCGCCTCCTCTGACACCCTGAGCATGATGGCATTCAGTAACACTGATGCCCAGAATCATAACTCTGCCCCCCTGCATGATGTCAAGCAGCAGCTCAGCCACTCCCAGTCTATGATCCTGCCTGAGAACGGCAAGGTATTCACCTCCAGAGCACATATACACACTCACAAGCTCATAAACTGTGTGTGGCTGTTCACAGAGAGAAGAGGAAATGCAGATAGCAAAAAAAAAAAGATCACACAAAGCTCTTGTCATGTGCACATATATATCTACATACAGACAACTGAACACAGCAGATGATGCCCGCTTCCTGTTTTTCAGCTGGTCCAGCAGAGCAGAGATTACTCCTGCAATGTGACCAACATCGTCGTGGAGCCTCCGTCTCCTGAGAGCTCTCCAGACAGTGACGGCTGCACACCGGTGAGAAAACACCACCTCTTACTTTGTAGATTGAAGATCCAAGAAAAACTGCATCTTCAGTTTTGGTGATTTAAAATTCTGTTCCTCTAAGGTTTGGAAAGATCCTCCTAAGCTCATAAAATGTTTGTGTTTTAGTTTTCACAGGACAGCCAACTACATTAACATCCAGTGCTGTTAGTAAAAGGATTTTCCAGAATTTATCTATTTTTTCAGGGTGCATTCATATTTGTCCTTTGTTTTTTAGGCATTTTCATACATTTTTCCATGATTAACACACACACACACACACACACACACACAAAATCATGTTAAATTTACTTATTGAGTTTTTCATCTTTTCCTGCCTTGGTAACTTTTCACCGTAAAAAGAAAATAAGAATTAAAACATTTTTCCAGTCAACAGTTTTGGTTTCACTTGTCTAAAAATGTTTAACTGCACACTTGTAAAAAGATCCTAAGTTGTGAAAATCATGATCATGTCTGTGGACCAGCCACTGCATTCTTTTGGAAAAACCTCTTGCAAATAAACACAGCTATAGTAATATATGATAATAATATATAGCTATATATGTGACTCGATGTTTAGCTTCTCTTGTCCTCTGTTCTGTCTTTTAAACTCATCTTAATGTCTGCTGTACTTCAGTTTGTTCCTTGTTGCCTTCACATACTGTACTCAATGCTTATAGCTTCATAGTTGGTATTAATTCTGTTCCCCTGCACCTTAAACGGGGCCATACCGCAGTGGGAGATTTTAGAGCAGCTCCCCTCCTGCTATTTTTTGAATGATGCAACAGTCAAGTTAAATGGGTTTGCTCAGGATGCAGTATATTACTCAGAGGAAAAGCCTGCTGTGGTGCTGCACTGTTCAAATTTCAGCTTGTCTTTACATACGCCATACATACTCTTTTTATTCCAGCAATCTCTGCCTGTTCTGAGTGATGCTGTCAGCCTGACAGTGTAAACATCAGTGAATACTGCAAACTGTATTGTACTTTAAACCCTTTTAATTTGTTCCAAGGAGCTGGAGAAGGCGGGCCTCTTGAACAAGACAAAGATCGCAGAAGGTGGCAGAAAGCTGAGGTGCAGCTGCTTTTATTAACAACATTTTATTGTATTGTTTTTGTGTGTATTCAAATACATGAGTGCAAGTGAAATTTTCTCTCACCAGAACATGTATGCTTGCTGGGTTGCAGGAAAAATTGGAGTCCTTCCTGGGTGGTATTAGTCGGAAACAGTCTGGTTTTCTTCAAGGATCCTAAATCACAGACACCTTCCAGCTGGGTAAGAGCTCACACAAACTCTGATTAATGATTTTAGTCCAGATAATATTTCTACAAAAAAAAAAGTTTTAAAACTAGGCAAGAAATTTCTTCTTTTCAAATTAGTCAGCCAACTCTTCTGAGTCATCTTTTTAAAGTGCAGATGTCAGTTTTTTTGCATGGTGGATTTTTTAATTTCGCAATTAGACATTGTGAAGTCCTGGGTCCAGTACATAAAGATCAGTATCTTATGACAAACTCAGAAAATGGTCACAAATTTTGTTATTTCAATCAACTGTGTGGCAAACATTTATCTGCCACTTTGTCTTCATCGATCTCTTCAGCAGGAGCACATACATCGTCTCATTGGTAGTAAAGCAAGTCACACAAACCAGTTGCAGGTGTATGAAAGTCGGTCATGATGGGTCAAAAAGTGGTGCCTCACAAGTGACATCAAAACCATTTTTAGAAACATTTATGGGTTGATTCCGCTAATGGTGGGGGACAGAAAATACAGTGAATATATCATGTCTTTATCTTACACAGAAACCAGGAAATAGTCGTCCTGAGAGCAGCGTAGATCTGAGAGGAGCACAGCTGCACTGGGCCAACGACCTGTCCAGCAAGAAGAACGTCTTTAAGGTGAGAAACAGGAAAGTGGCGTAGCAATCACCCAAATAAAAAGAAATATTCTCCTACAATCCTCTCAATTACATGTATTCAGAATGTTCAGATTTCAGCGACTCTTGTATTTATTAAAACAACCCATATTCTACTTAACAGAAAGGTTAATTATTGTTGTGAGCTGATATGTTGTGGGAGGACTGTGGGGTGGCAGATAAGAATATCAATGAGGGAAGTGAGAGTGGGAAGCTGTCTTTCATCTGATAACTCTTCAGTGACCCAGTGTGAGGAAGAGGAAGAAGCAGTAAAAAAAAAAATGTGGCAGAATAAACCTTGTCTGTAGTGTTTTCTAAATCAAACTAGTGAATATCCAGATGAATAAACTTAATACATGCCATTTTTTGTGAAAATTGTTAGACAGAGAAGTGTGGATAAGAGAAGATATACTTGACTGGGGAGTTTTGGAAACATGCATGAACATGGTTTATAAATGTGTTTGTTTCAGCTGAGGACAGTGACAGGAAATGAGTTCCTGTTGCAGTCGGAGACCGACTCTCTGATTAAAGAGTGGTACAACACAATCCAGAACGTCATCGACAGGCTGGTGAGACACAGTTGTACTTTCAAGTTACTGCTTCTCTAATAGCTGCTAAAAGGACTTCCCTTTGGATTAAAATAGCAGCATTGGTATATAAAGTTTATGCTCTCTGTAGTCTTTTACTGAATCTAAAACATGTACACTGTTCTTCCGCTTTTTTTGGGTTTTCACCTTTTTAGTTTCTTAGGGTTAGGGTTAGGGTTTAAATGTTTTATAAACAAACTTAGGCTTCTCATACCTTATGCCAAGCACTTTAAAAACTGACTCATAAAAACTAAATATGCTCTAAAAAGGAAACGGAGAGGAGTTAACTATAATAGATATGTATGTATGTACATAGACTGAAATTCCATCATATCTGCTGTACACAGTAATGCGCAACAGCAAGCAATAAAATCATTTGTTCTCCTTTTATGTAATGCCAGAATGTAAATGTTTTCTTGTTGGACTGTTGAGTAGTCATTTTGATTACATGTTTTCAGTAAGTGATGTTATATGTGCTGGTTTATGGTGCAGCTAACACACTGCTCATTCCTCCTGCCTTTCAGGATCGTGAAAACCCGTTAGACAATGTCCTCCTGTACTCTCTGAGGAGAGCGGGCAGTGTGGAGATGCTGGACCACAGCGGTGACGAGGATGACAGGAGAACGTCTCGTAAGTCATCACCACATGACGCCTCTCATCACTTGGCCTCCTTCCTCCACCACAGAACTCCGTCCCTGCCCTCCACTCCACTTTACTCACAGCCTCTGTCTCCATCATCATCACTCTTTTTTCTAAACTTCCATACAGGCTTCCTGCATCCTTCCGTCCTGTCATCCATCCTCTGCTCCATCCAGCCCTCTTATATTTTCACTCGGCCCCCGTGGCAGATAATCCCCCCATCAGTCCTGTCTCACCTCCGCCATCGCCCAGCCCTCCCGCTCTTCATCCTCACCACCATCCCCTCTCATCTGCTCTCTTGCCCCGCAGCCGAGCGCCCCGCACTGACCTCCTCCTTCTTCTCTTCCCCCTCCTCTGCCTCTCCCTCTCCTCCCTCTGCAGTCCCTCGCTCTTCATCCAACCTGGAAAACACAGAGAGGAAAAGAGTGAAGACCAGACTGAAGAAGCTGATCCTAAAGAGACCTCCTCTGCAGGCCCTGCAGGAGAAAGGGCTCATTAAAGGTGAGCTTTCTTTTTGAAGTTGCACACTATTTAAATTCAAGTATCCTTTATTCAGCAGTGTATGGGGTGAATCATGGAAGTGAAGACTTTGGCTGTTGAGTTAAAGAAAATTTGCCATTAAGTGAACCGCATTAAAGTTATGATGGCAGGCAGGAAATCTCAGCATTTATCCTGCAGTGATGCTGCGCCCCCCCCAGTGAATGTGTGGCGCAATCCTCCTCATCTGTTTAGCAAGAGCCTTTTCACACTCACAAAAATCATTTATTCATCAATTTTCAATGCTGAAATGATCCTTTGGTTTTTTCTATCCAATATAAATTCTAAACACATCATCATTTTCTAAGTGTGACAAATAAAAGGAAAAAATGTGGTTTAAAAAAAGCGAGTTATACAGTATGAAAATTACCTTCATAGCCACCAAATGTGCAAGATTTTGGACAGGACTCTCCACCACTAAAATCAAACCTACAAAGGAGGGAATATTTGTTGGAAAAAGGGTGTTCATTTCCTCACTTGAGTGGTTTTTTATGGTGTTTTTGCCTTTGTTTAACAGTAAACTGTGGAGAAGTGGCACCGGAGACCCCCAGAACACAAGGATTTCATATTTTCCTAACAAAGATAAAAGAATTCTTCTGCTAACTTTACCACTATGTCAGTCCCTTTTTTGCACATTTAAAAAAAACTGAAGTTCTGGTGAATGGTGAAGCATATTTGTAAAAAATAACCCTGCACAAGCTCTCCAAGCTTTTGTGATAGTGGAAAGCAATATCTGATGCTTATGTGGTTAAATGTGGATCACTCTAGAGAGGTGTGTCGGTGCCATACTCTGTAAAGTAGCAAAGGATGGCTCATGATGCTTTTTACCTATAATCTGTACAGTACAGCGCATGGGTTGCATTGCATCATCTAGTGTGAGCTTATATGTCTGCAGGGAACAGAGTGAAACGTGGAGGTTTTCTCCCATAGTGAACAGAAAACTTATGAGTAGATTAACTTAAGCTCGAAGCTCTTACATCATGTCTTGGTAAAATGAAGTGTGTGCAGCTATCTGGTGAGAAAAAACAACAACTTCTAAACAGACGTAAAAAGTGTGTTTGTGTCCATCTGTCATCGCCCCTCAGATCAGGTGTTCGGCTGTCGTCTGGAGATGCTCTGCGAGAGAGAGAAGAGCACCGTCCCTCGCTTCGTCAGGCTTTGTACCGAGGCTGTGGAGAGGAGAGGTACAGACACCGCAAACACAGCTCCCGCTAATGCGATTCTCAGCTCAAAGCGGACACATGAGAAAACACCCTCAACCCCTGTTTTGAGCATCGCTTGACAGCAGCTCTGAGCTCACTGTTCTCACAGCTCTGTGACATAAATCATCAAACAGAAATTTACTGAAAACTGTTTGTGATTGCCCGACAGAAGGCAGACTAAAACGTTCAGATTTGGGGGAGAAGTCATGACAGCTGCCAGCCAGAAACAGGTCTAAATGAGAGAAAATTGAGTTGTTTAGAAACCGTTTAGAACCAATGCAGCAATGAATATTTAATACACAGGAGGAAAAAAATGTGTTGTGGGCTTTTAAAACCTGGTTTTGATGAATTAGATATGTCTTGGCAGTAATAATTTCAGATCAAAACATTTACATTTTAGGCCACAACACACTAAAAAACTTTCCGGAAAAAGTAAAATAATTTTTTGGATCATTGTCATAGTTATCATATGTACTGCAGTAAAAATGGAAGAAGGTAGAATATTTTCCACCAGTCTGAGGATGTAGTTGGTTGCACTGTATGTTATACATTAGACACTATTGATGAATGAGAATTTGTAACCTATTAAAAGTCAGAAGAGTGAAAAATCCTAATTCAGTGTCCCAGAGCCACATGTTTTTAAATCGTTTCTCATTGCTTTTGTAGCCAGCAATCCAAAATTATTAAATTTTACTGCCTTGGAAGGCATAGAAAACCAACAAATATCCACATCTGAGAAGCTAGAAACAGGGAACTTTTGCTATTTTGCAAAATTATCTTCTCTTTGGTTTCTGATACAGACAGCCTCTGGTGACAGGTTTTTCTATCAGTTAAATCATGTGGAAAAATGCAAGGAAGCATAATATGCTTCATGTAACCTCTATATATGTAATATTCACGGACCTGGTACATATCAAAACATACATCCGTAATCAGCAGCACTGAGATGTTTTTACAAGTCACTGAGTGAAGGCTGTATGTTTTATGCTACCTCTAAAACATTAAATATCAGCCAGAGGCTTTAGTTTTAAACTGAATCATTCTGATGTTTACTAAAAATGCCTCGCCTGACCTGTTCTGATGCTGACCTCAATTTGATCTTTTCGTGGGATTTGTTCACGGTAAGAAAAATGTCGGCAAACTTTTGTTTCAGAATATTCATAATCAGTGTGTCCCAGATCCTTGGCTTGTTTTAAAGCTTCTGTTATTGTAACCAGTGTGAAAAAAGCAGAAACACAGTCTCACAATAAAACTTTACACTTCATCAAGCAGCACAGTATGAAATGTTTAGAGGACAGAAAAGGAAGTATTTATAGGCCATGTGATCAAGTAAAATGCAACTGTTTTTTCCCTTTTTTTTTTTTTTTTTTTTAGATTGCTAAAAGTGGAAAACTGTGCTTTTGCTCTACTTTACTCACACATCTTTGGGCACTTATGCAACATAGCGAACTTCCTGGGCACACTGAATTATTGATTTGCAGAAAATGCAACTGCCATGACCAGCAAAACAAAGAAATCAGCTTAGTCTGCCTTAAAAATCAGAGGAAATCATTTCTTACATTAATACAATTTTAAATCACTCCTTATGTGACATTTGATTTTGATTGTGGAGTTCCCCTCTCCTGACCTGCTCTGTGTGGTATGTTGCAGGACTGGATACTGACGGCATCTACAGAGTCTCAGGAAACCTGGCAGTGATTCAGAAACTACGCTTCTTGGTGAACCACGGTGAGAATGAAGGGCAGAAGGGGAAACAAGTACTGATAATTATTGTTAATTCTATTTCTGGCACTGAAACCACAGAGAGCGAGAAAGAAAGGGATTAAACAGAGAAGTGGATGCAGATGGAAGTTTTCTTGGATTTGTCAGAAAACATTCAAATTGACCTGATTTCTCTTTTCTAGCTTCTTTACCTCAAGATAAATGATGTTGTTTTTGTGTTTGACAATAGACAACAGTTAAAATACAAAACGCCTTTCATGACACACTCACTATCTGCCTGTTTGAAATCTGTGACTGTCTCCCTCCAACCGCACAACACGGTAGAGGAAAGCCATCTGAGTAATTGTTGGTTTTTGCAGAGCGAGCGGTGACTACAGATGGCCGCTACATGTTCCCAGCGGAGTTGGTACAAGGTAGATTCGGGCAGACGAGGACAGCAGCCGCTTTCACGTCTTTCTCAGCCTGCTTGTTTTTGTGCATCATGTGTTGCATAATGTGAACACTTCGGTTGAAAAAACGCCCTAAAAATACCCACCTATTCGCAGACTGACACGCAGAGCTGAGCTGCAGTGCAGACGGCCACCAAACTGACCCTTTTTTGTTTTTGTTGTTGTTGTGCCACCGCTTGCTTAATGTATGTGTGTCCCTTTGGCTTTTGTGTTTAAGTTTTCTGATGTAATAACATGCAGCAGGTTGTACAGCGACTTCTCACACGGTCCGTGGCTGCCACCAAGTGGACAACACGGAGAATCAGCTGCCTGTGAAGCGCTCTAATCCCACAGCAGGATCTCACTGACTGATGCTTCTCATTATGAGATACCAGAGATTGTACATGAATACTGACCTTATTGACACTGAGATCAAATTAAATCCTTTTCTCTGGGCGTGTATGATCCAATTTGAGAAGCATTAGTCAGGCTTGTATTTAAAAAAAAAAAAAACAAGAAGTGTGCTTTATCCTTTAAAGTATATGTGTGCTGCTGTGCCTCTGTGTCTTCTCTGACTTTCACAGACCATCTCTATCTCCCTCCTGCAGCTACAAGCCTTCATGTTCCGCCTGAACTCAATTCAGACTTATGCTAAACGATGCCAGGACTGTAACTCCACTATTTCGACTCTAAATTCACACACTTTGTCTCTCTTTTTTTTCCTATTCCCCTGCCTTTCATTCACTTCTTCTGACCCCGTCTGTCCTGATTTCTCCCCAATTCCCCTCATCTTTGCCTCCCCCTCCCTCCTCTCCTCCCTTCCTCCTTCCCTGCTCTCAGAGGAGAAGCTGAATTTGGACGAGAGTGAGTGGGAGGACATTCATGTCATCACAGGAGCTTTGAAACTTTTCTTTCGTGAGCTTCCCGAGCCTCTGGTGCCCTTCGGCTTCTTCACCGACATCGTGGAGACAGTCAGTGAGTGACCAGTTTCAGCCACATTCACACTGTTTAGTTTGCATACTGTATTTACCCCTTAAAGTGGAGGGCTTAGGGTCACTTTCTACAGAGTGATAGAGATAGAAATGAAACCATTGCTATTTACAAAGTTTGTATTATCTTAAAAATCCATAATTTTGTGAAAAAAAAGCAAATAATGTGCCTTAAAAGTTTAATTAGGCATGTTTATAGCACATAAATGTCAAAATCCAAGAATTTGTCTGTCATTTTTTTGCCCCTTAAATTGTTAGATATGCACACAACACTTTTTTTCTTTTTTTTTATCACTTAACATTTTTTCCTCTTGACTTGATTAAACATTTCACTCCTTTTTACTTTGTCAATTGGTGGTAAAAGTACTTTTCACCCTTGCAGAATGCAGTATATTCACACAACATTCTTTCCACCTTTAGAAAATGCTACACAAGACATATAAATACAAAAAAGGAAATGGTACTTTTAAAAAACATAAAGCATAAATTCCAAGGCGAGAGGCGAATAATTATATACTGACAAATGCTGAGATTTATTGAGCTGTGGTGAATTAAAGCCAAGCGATGGGTTTACTGGTAAAAATCTTTGAGTGTAAATCTTTACTTTTTAAAAAAAAAATCAGTTTTACACAACAGCTATATAATCTGCAGCTTGTGTAAATATATTTGAATCATATTTGAATGTCATATTGAAATGTCATTTAAAGAATAAAACTTACTGTTTTTATTTTTTTTCTTCACTACAAATGCCAGGAAAAGACCGAACCCTACAATTGTTCATCTCCGTTCCATGAATGTATATTCTTTTCCACAAAAGAAGTAAATCTAGAAGTAAAAAAAACCAAAAACAAAAAAAAACAGGCCACCGTAAGTTCAAGCAAAATTTGATTTATTTACGACTGTAGGATGGTGTATGTGGTGTTTCAGCATAATGTAGGTCATTTAGTGCAGTAATGTGGCACATTTATTTCTTTACTCTTTACAGGCTTGTTTACAGCACCGACAATGGTATAAAATCACTGTTTGCGGCTGTAATCTCTTTCTAGCATTTGCTGAGAGTTAAAAATATATAGAATATATAATATAATATATAATATAGTATATAATTGAATTTCCCTTCTGGGATAAATAAAGTATTTTTCATTCATTTCATTTCAATATCAGCAACATTTTCCTCTTAACTGAGTTCAGTTAATTTGCCTGAGCTTCTGTGATACGGAAATGTATCACATTATCTATTACTTATCCTTAAAGACAGTAGATAATCTGGCATTTAAAATATATTACACTCAGTAAGGCAATTTCCATATTAAGATCTACAAAAAATTGCTAATAAATGTAGATAAATTTTTTTGAAAACAGTTGATGGGACATCTTTTTTGCAAAGTGTGAGCGCATGAAGGATCAGCATCTCAGTGTTCATCAAACCACTGTGGTGATAGTTGATAACTGGATGCTGCTGTATCAGATTAAACATTGGACGCTTAAAGAGAACATGTGATATCAGTTACTGGATATGTAAATCAAGCTTCAGATGCTAATAAAGCGCATGGAATCTTACACATCTCTTGCTCTGTGTCGCAGAGATGTCAGACTACATGGACAAAGTGGATCGCTTGAAGTGTCTGGTGCTGAACATGCCTCCTCCGAACCACGATACGCTGCAGTTCATGTGCCGCCATCTCAAACGGTGAGAGGATGGGAACCAAACAACGCAACTCTACTGATGTGTGACCTTTGTCTGTGGTGGTTTCAATGCCCTAAAACTGACAGAGTTCATAATGCAGAATATTTTGGTACCCTGGTAGCAAAAGTTTAAAAAAGAATTTAACAAATCTCTTCCTTATAACTTTTCTTTTTTAAAATCTGACCACAAGAGGGGGTAGTTTCCATGTTAGTCTCACTCACTTTCTGCCGGGGATTCTTTGGCCACAGCTCTCAAAGTATGCCAGCGCTGTACCAGGATCACACTGTTGTTAAGTTTGGGTCCCTGTGAAGATGAAAAGGCTGGAGGAAGATGAATGGTGTACAATGTTCTGCGAGCCAGTTCCTTTTACAGTACATAAAATGTGTGTTTTTTACCGCCTATGGTTTTTCCTTCCACTCCAGGGGTGAGCGTTCGTGTTCGGAGGCCGATGTTTGTGCCAGGGTGTGGTGGGCCCCATGAATTTGTCAACTCTGTGTCTTTTCTCTCATTTTCTCTCCGCTGTCATTCCTTTCTCCCCTCGTTCTGTTTCTCATTTATTATCTCCCTGCTCAATCACCCCCCTCTCCTCCTCTCTTGCTCGCTCACTGCCTCCTTTTCCTTTACTTTCTGTTCTCCCTCTTCCTTCTTTCATTCTCCCTTTCCTCTTCCCCTCCCCTCTTTTTCATCCCTCTCTCCTTTTTCCTCCTTCCCTCCCTCCTTCCCTCCCTCCTCCTCCTGCTCCCTCCCGCTCTCCTCCTTGCCTCGAAGGTCCCATGGGAGCCTTGTGGTTCGTCTGCTGGAAGGCATACCAACACCACCGCCGCCACCACTGGAACCTCTCTCTTTTCTCTCTCTTCGCCCTCTTCCTCGCTCACTTCTTTTTTTTCTCTTCCCTCTCCTCTCTCCCTTTTTTCCTCCTCTCTTTTTAATGTGGAAGTTTTGAGCAATTGCTGGCTGCTTCTGTGGCTTGGTGGGAATGGCATTTTTAGAAGAATGCCTCATGCTGTGGCTTTAACCCATTCCTGAGTCCCCCCCAATCACACACACACACTCTAACGCACCAACATAGGTGGATACAGGCGGTGTGTTTTGAATACTGTCGCGCACAATTCTACATCGTAAAACCCAGATGGAAGTGCGTGAACATGCGCGCAAAAAACAAGATGTCACTGGTAGATTTGCAAACCGATTATTTTAGCTGCTGTCCTGAATTTGCAGCAAGTATAAAGATCCTGTGCACAAGCATGGAACTATATCCACATTTAGCAGTAATCTTTATGTCTTCAATCCCAAAGAAGAATTTTGTGAGTCTAATGACAGCGTTTAACATGGACACCCATTCAGCATAGGGTTTTAACCTTCTAACATTTGCCATTTGTGCAACTATTCGGTCATAAACCAAAGACTTGTACAAACTTTTTGACCTAATGGTAGCTAAAAAGATCATTAAAGTTATTTTTATTCCTTCTGAGGGGGCATGACCATTTCATGGCGCTCTATCCAAAAGTGGTTGAAACATTTCACTCAAAACCACAAATGCCAGCCTCATGGTGGACCTTTAGGGAATGTCAGGGATCCCCAAAGTCATCAAAGTCCACTAGTTGCTGAGATATTTCAGTCTGGACAAAACTGGTGAACTAGCTGGCACTCAAGCTCTCCCTCAAGCCATCCCGCGAGTCTGACTAAAAATGTAATTTTACCAGCTGGAGCAGTTCAAAATGACTCACTTTTGTTGTTTTGATTTTCAGTTTTCGTTATATTTAAGGTGGTATTAAGCTTGCATCTTCTACCCTCTTGTTTCCTTCAGAGTGCTGGAACGTTCGGACACCAACAGAATGACCACCCAGAACATTGGCATCGTGTTCGGGCCGACGCTGATGCGCCCAGAGCGAGATAACGGCAACATGGCAGTGAATATGGTTTACCAGAACCAGGCGGTGGAGCTCATCCTCAGCGAGTTTGACCACATCTTCGGAACAAGAGGCCTCTCTTGATCTTTTCAGATGACGGGGGGGTGGAGGTGGGGGGGAGCCAGATCAGACGAAAGCACAAGTATTGCAGAATTTGTCCTCTTTGCCTGTTGACTCATATGGTGTAAAATGGATTTCACATCAAAAGATAATTACAGGATAAAAAGAACCAGGACAGAAAGCTGCTAATCATGACATCTGGCCTCCATATAAAGCCATGTTAAAACAATAATAGTAAAACAAGCCAATTTTAGCTGCAGTACTTGTGCCTTTGACTGCAGATGTAGAGCCCAGCCCCTGTATAGCTCGGTGCTGGGACAGACGCCTCCTTGTCACTTTTCCTTGATGTTTCAGGATAAATAAAAAGCTATAAAAGCGATAAATCTCATTCAGCCTGTTCAGATAGCTGCGTATTATTCAGTTCATTGATCAAGGAATGCGAGGAGGGATGTGTCTTAACGTAGCACTGAAACAAAACTTAGCAGAACCATCTCACTGTGAAAACACATGCACCAGCACCTCTGGCAACAAGGATGGACAGAACCCACCTGCAGCATTAGCATGGACAGACTGTAGGTTTTCAAATCAAGAAGGAAGCAAACTGGCTGTAAATGTGCCCACATCTTTACTGACATTAGACAGCGAGTTTGAGGGTTTATTCGAGAGAACTCTTAAGAGACAAAAGCATGATTTCAGTGATGGGATGAATGTGCCAACGGGGCAGCAAATGTACCTTTGTACCAAATAGTACATAGTAGTGTGTGGACCTTCAGATCTTCCCTTATTGTACAAATTTGAATCTTTCTCCTATTTTTATTAGTACAAATTCCTCATATTAAGTTAAAAATATTAAGTTGTAAATATGTGAAATACTGTCTTTGTCAATTAGTAGCACTTTGCATACAATGTGTAACCTAAGCATTCTATATTAGCCAAATTCAAACGGATATGTTTGCTTTGCAATGAACAATGTGTTGCTAAAATATGACTTGGACCTGATTGTTAATTCTCCTGCAATAAAAACATGTGAACAAAACCGATTTGATCTGCTTTATGGTGTTTGGTCAGGATACTGTCAGGTTGTTTGTGCCGAGCGATGGGTTGCGTGAGAGATAGTAGAAGCGTGTGGAGGTATTTGGGCCACGGAGACTCGGCGGGTGGAGACATCCCCTGTGATTGGTGCGAATGCTGCTTTTAATAACAGAACAAAAGGGGAACTGGAAATGCATATGTTTTAAAAATGTGGATTTTCCCCCCAAACCCTCTCAGTCTCTCACTCTGTGGCTTGGGTAATTTTCTATTGACTGTGGGTTTGGCAAAAGACAAAAAAGAGCAGAAAAGAGGCACTGCTGCTGGGGGGGCTCATGGATTCTGCAAAGTTTTTATTAGATGTATTTATTCATTTTTATGTTTGTATTATTTCAAGTCATGTGAGCTCGTTGTGAAGCACTAAAATTATGTGTAGCTGATTGATCTCGACTTGATCGTGCACTTTCAAGGACATCCTTAAATTTGATTAAATAGACAAACTTCGCTTGTTTATTTGGTTCAAATGCATGTCTGCACAGTCATCTATGTGTTTACTCCAACTAATATCAGAATTAATCGCGTATCCCGCAATCAATGGTGCAGTTTCTCTGGTTTATTGGTCTTTCGACAGCAGTGTCCCAGAGTTTCCTCACGTTATATTGGATGATCTTCCATCTATTGGATTATTTAAAGAAAATCTAAAGCACTGATCTACTCAATATTTCATCAAATATTTTTGCTGTATGTTTTGTTCTCTCTCCAAATTCTGAAACTAAAGGGACTTTCCTTTCAATAAAACCTCAGTGGCATTAAACAGCCTTAAACTGAGCTCTGTGATGTGTTGTTTTTTTTTCACTTTGGTATGACGGTGCTAATCACCCCTTAAAATTAGAATCAGTCCAGCAGAGACACAATCAAACACTCCTCCCTGCTAATCAGCAGTTTGTTGGCAGTAAAAGTCAGAATCTATTACTTCATCCTTTTATGTTCTTTTTTTTCTCTTTCATTCTTTTTTTCATTGACTTGATGGCATGTGACGTAAAGACGGCACTCAGACTATACATCAGCATTTGAAACAATGCAAAAGAGAACTTGTGCCTCTGTATAATTGCTTAAAATGTAACAAATGCAGCAGAAATACTGTAAACTTTTGGTAGAAATTAGCTCACAATGAGAGATTTCTGACACATGTACTGATGAAATGTAACAACCCAATAATAATTCAAAACCACTTTGCATCTGTAGGTGGTTATTTTGTTTGTTGCATCACTGAAACAAAATGGTTTTTGGTCTGTGTAAATTGTGGAAAGAAGACAATCATAAGGTCATAAAGTCTTTTCATCTGTAATACTTCTTTCATCCAAGCAACTCTCAAAACTATCCATATGTAAAGGAACCCCCTTGAAAAGTGTGCTATCAGATCTCTGGCATATTTTATATGAATTTGGTTCATCACTGACTATTTCTGTATCAACAATAGATTTCAGTGAAGTGTAGATATAAGATTAACTTGGCTTTTATTCCATTTTATTGGATTCAGATATGAACACTGCTTTAATATCGTTTAAGGTACATTTTTGGTGTTATCATCATTATTTTTTAGCTGTGTTGTAAATTTTCTGTTTATCTAACCAAAGGGAGAATTAAGGAACAGACACTCCTGGAATATAATAAGTTACAATGGTGCCTTGTTTTAAGAAGAACAGTTTTTCTACCCACCAGTGCAATTCAGCTGTATTCATTCTAAAGCCTGCTTGTTCTGTGACGCGGTTGTTACAGTGAACTGAAACCTAAAAATGCTCAGAATACACTCTGGCAGCTGGTTGCTCATGTATGTAAGCTGTTGCGAGGGATCTGACAGAGGTGGGTTTTACATCAAAACTACCTATAAGTCAAGGCAGCGCTCTAATAAAAGTCATTTTAGTCTCAGTCAAACTGCAAACCACCCAGGCTTTCATACACACCTCATAACATCACCAACTGTTGATGCTACAGTTGACTAAATGCTGCTGATGCATAGCCCCCAAAATGTATCTAACCTGCAAGGCAAGCTTTGTTAATGTTGCGGTTGGCTGATTGTTTACTCACTGTACCGTTACCCTAAAGCTCAAGTATCACATATCAGGGGAGCGGACACACACACACACACACACATACACACACATACACACACACACACACACACACACACACACACACACACAGGTTCACTAGAGAAAAGCAGGCACCTCTGATGAATCATCATGCAAATAGACCAGAGCCACAAAAAAACTCAGTGCAACAAAGCGGTTTGGAGATCTTGGTGGTGATGGAAACTGTTTAATGTGATGGGAAACTGAGTAGCCCATGCCCCAGCCCAGCTTCAAAATTGTCTCATGCAGACGACTTTGTTCACACTGAAAATTCAAAAGCATGATTTAAGGCCCTTTCTGATTTGAAATGACTCAATAATTCAACACATTTCTTAAAAAGCTGCAAAAAAGCTATTAGTCTGATTTTTTAATACAGAAATTTTCCACATTGAACTAACTCGTAGTTCCTTTATTTTCAGTTCCATAAACTCTGCATCATGAGATTATTTATTAGAACAAGATTAAACTGATTTCATTAGAAAAACAAATGACATACAAAGTTCAGTGACAACATATGTACATTTTTATTACAAATATCCTCAAACATGCAAAGAAATATATATAAAAAAAAGTGAATACAAAAGTTGCATGGGTGTAAAGAGGAAATAAAAACTGTACCTAATATTAAAAAAAAGTGTGCAGACGTTGAATGTAACATATTTTTTGCATATTCTTTGACCCAAAAATAACAGGTGAGGAACGATGCAAGTGAAGTGTGGCAGTTGGCATATCTTTGGTGTTAAACACACGCACGCACACACACATGCGCACACACACATATGCGTGCACACACACATCACACATACAAAGACACAGACATAGATCAAGAATGGTCTTTGGCACACAGCATGCATAAATGCTGCAAGCTTAGTCACACCTCATGCATCACCGTCTTATCTCATCGTACCAAGGCTTTTTTTCAGATTACTCACAGTACATCTGAGGCACTTTTCACATTGACTACACTGCAGTCAGAAAGAGGAAGTTAAAACCGATGTATGTGTCCTGAGTCTTGACCGTCTTGCCACACCTCAACAGACAAGCCCGAATGTGTGACACATTATTTTTCCGGGGTTGTGAAAATAGACTGTAGCACATGTAAATTAGTTCGAGAAATAGCAGACATTTTAGCATTAAATGAAATCAAGCAGCCCCATGTGATTAATACACAAATGGCGAGACAGTGCAAATCGTATTTGCTCCCCTTAAGGGAAAAACCCCCAAAGACTGACTTCATCTTTTGCCCGCTTTCAACCCATCCCATACACAAAATGCAGAAATGTCCGTCCCCAAGCAAGGCATGCAGTTAAAAAGGTGCAGTCCACCGCTTTTTGTTTAAAAAATAAATAAACAACCACCTTCCAGTTCTTCCTCTTTTCACTGCTCACTCTAAATATTAAACAGATTGCTAGTTAGTTAAAGCCACTGAGCACCATAGTTGACCTGAAGAGACAAGTTGGTTGTACCTTATGATTTCACAGCATAAATGACAAAAGTCCTGCAAAGATAACTTCTACCTTATATACTTAAGCACTCACTGGCTTTAGGACGAAGTGATAGCTGCATGTGCATTTTAACTGAAAACATTTTACAGTTATTTCTAACTCATATGACATTTGCACCAAATGATACCATATAATATTGAAAACGAAATGTTACGAGGAATAAATACACTAATAGCTAGGCATTTGGTGAATCTGTTGTTATGGCTGTTTCTGTAACCTTTAGCCTCTGGCCTTGATGGCGCATTAAATTAAGACAAGATGTATTTCCATCCTGCAAACATTTCCTGCAGGGCCTATGTACTGGTGTAAAATGTGAACAGTCAAAATGAAGCAAACAAAAAACAAAAAACAAAACTCTATTGAATCCTGCACATAAAAATAAAAAACAAAAACCTCTGTGTTTGTGTTGTGCAACAGGCAACAGCAGCAAGCATGTAAAACAGAGATATCTGTAATGTCACATCTGTATATGTGACATGAACTCAGATCTGTCAACCCAAATGTTTTAGCTGTCCTGGAAAACAACAAAAGCAAACAAACAAACAAAAAAACGAAACACTGTCGGTACATCAAGTCTATTTTACATGATAAAATACTGTCATTTGTATTGTCACATATATTTTGTTTGCATGGCTTCATCCACTTCAAGGTCATGAATCCTTTGGCAGTTCTGTGCATTGTTTCATGTTAAAATGAGTTGTTAAGGGGAAAAAAAAACAAAACTCAGGTGAGCTGGTATATATGTGAGGGAAAAAAGATCAAAAGTCGTAATACATACAGTATATGCATTGTAATGGCTTGTTAAAGTCATCTTAAGTTTTTATTCTGGGTAACTCTGTTATATCCAGGCTCAGTTCACATTTGTCCAAGTCTCCATTCTGGTCCTCAGTGTCTCGGTCCCAGATATGGCTCTCTGTATTGTCAATATGGTTTCCCACGTCATAACTGTTTCTCTCATGTTGCACTCCGTTCTCTCCTGTGGGTGATTCTTGGATGGGGCTTCCTCCCAGCTCCACCGCTGCCTCTGACAAACCTACATGTGCCTCTTCCATGTGGCCAACACTAACTCTTGCCTCCTCTTCCTCCTCCTCCTCTTTGAGGGCATCCGGACCTCCATCCAAACTGGAATCGCTGAGGAAGGAGTGGGGAGTTTGGGTGTCATCCATGGACAGAGGGGTGTCTTCGGCATGATGGCCCACGAGGTTGTTACCTGCTCCTGGGGTGAGTGGCATCTCCTCGTGCTCTTGGTCTGGATCTTGGTCTTTGCTGCAGTAGGCGTAGCGGTGGTTCATGTGCTGGGAGTAAGAGCCTGAATGAGAGAAGCGTTTGCCGCACTTGTCACATTGGTAGGGTTTCTCTCCAGAGTGCAGCCGG